CCTCAGACACTTCTCAAAGATGAATAATAAGTATAGTAGGGGGTGGGGAATCGCAGGGGTAACCCTTGATAAAATACAATAAAGTACGATACGAGATGATACATTACGGTATGATACTGTAAAACCAGTCTTGGAGTGATGCCCGAAGAAGTCGGTTTCCCCCCAAAATGTTTTTTTTTTAAGTGTCTGTTTTAGCCTCTGTTATAAATAGTGACATGTAAGACTACTCTTGCATATCACATAAAAAATGTTTTGTATCTGCACATTGACACTCAGCTTCCACTGCTTGACTTGAGGGAGTGATGATCATTATGAAATGAACATAAACCACAGAAGAGGAGCAGATTTAGTGGTTTTAACCCTCATGCGTCACTATGGACATTTTTGTCCATTTGGTCAAATTTTCCCTCTTCACCTGGCAATCATTTTTTCTGTGTTGATGCATATGGCACCATTTTAAAAAAAAGAAAGACTCTCTCTTGACACATTTTGGAAAGCACATTTAAATGTTTTTAATAGACCAATAGAACACTGTGAAACATGTTTACTACCCTCTTAAGTCACTAAGGACAAAAATGTCCACTTACAAAAAACTGTTATAAAAATAGAACAGATTGATATTTTTTTCTACTTTTTTCTGCATAAATCTCTTAAACAACTTCAGCCCTGCTCAAAACTATCACATATTTAATAATTAGCAGGAATTTAACCCTTTAAATGCCAGAATCATGTAATCAAACTGGCATTTAAAAGGTTCAATTCCTAAAAATGATTGAATGTTTGGTAGTTTTGAGCAGGGCTGAAGTTGTTAAAGAGATTTATGCAGATGCAGTTTTTTGGCATGGACATTTTTGTCCTTAGTGACGTAAGAGGGTAGTAAATTAAACTGATGCCTGAGGGTTAATAGACAATAGGGCCTACATAGTGATGCTTTTTGAGTGAGCTCAAATTATTCTGAAGCAGTGTTGGGGGGAAATGTGTTTCAAATCAATGCACATGTGTACCCGGATTACTTTTTGTTATCAATACTTACGCTGTGAGTTGCGTGTGTGAACAACAAGCTCAGGAGGATTTCGGGTGCAGTCGTCCTGAAATTCTCTCGAAATGTTTAGGAGTGCGTGTGTCAAAACAGGTTCTCATTTATGTCATCGGCGCCACCGTGAGGAGTCATGAAGTGATGATGTCGCAACCAAATTACCAGAGAAATCTGTTTAGTGCGCCGTTATATGTTTTCAAACTAAACCATGATATTTACCAGCAGTGATAAGAATGTATCACTCAAGTCAAGACGACACTTTAATGCAGAATCCATAGTTTCTTCCCACCCCTTAATGTGTAGTATTCAGCCTGTGAGTGCATGTTGCCTGTAAATGAGTGTGTATAAGTTTGTGCACATTCCACAAGTGCATACTTCAGGATGTGTGTGTGCCAGTTTAAATTCTGTTGAAATCCCCCCCCCCTCCCCTGGCGTCCACCGTTAATATTTATGCAGGCGCTATTTTCTCTCTCTTCACACAGACAGAGCCTGAAGGCATGATTTCCGGCTCCTCTGTCCCTCCCACCTTTCCTCCCTTTTCTCCCGGTCCCTCTCTCTCTCTGTGTGAGTAATTGCTTTCACAGGTAGTGGCTTGTCGACCGCATTGAAGTGCAAACCGCTGCAGAGTTAAGTTGTGGGTGCTGGCAGGAGAGGTAGAGAGGAATGGGGTGTGGGGGTCGATGGAGGCTGGTTCTGGAGAGGATGAATGTCCCAAGGGGAGAGCCGGCAGAGGATCCTTTTTTTTTTTTTCAAGGAGTTATTTCCATCTCTTTCTCTCTGACTTTATTCTGACTTCCTGCTTCATCTCGTCTCTTTCTCTTGCTATCTCTGTCCTTGGAGATACTTCCCGACATCCTTGGACTTAAGAGATGACAGCTTTGCCTTTTCCTCGGCTTCTAGTCGGGTGGTTTTTGATTGATGGGAAAAAAGTTTGAAAGAAGAATGAACTTTCTTTACTTTTGGTGTCTGTTCAAGGTTAATCAGTTTCTCTCTCACAAAACCTGAACATCCCTTCTTACGTGAACCGGCCTCCAATGTCAATATGACACATGCAGCAAACATCTGAGTGCTTTACATAACCTGTCTCTCATGTTGTGTTTGTTGATTAGTTCAAAAACAATTCAATGCAATATAAGAAACACACACCTTTGAATATGAAGCTTTATTGACATTAAACTGATACGACAACCCCCGAGTTACACCTGTCAATAATTTAAGACAAAAACAATTTAAACATTAAAGACAGTATAGATAAAGTATAACGCAGTTTAAAATCAAGATTAAAAAACAGCACAGGAACTGGATACAACTAAAGAAGCAGCATGAGAACGTGATCAAAGACCACGGTAGTGTTGTATACTCAAAATCGGTCTTAATCTCAAGACCACTATTTAAAGGTCTCGTCTCGTCTCGGAAATCGAAAGCATTTTTACTCGGTCCTGTCTCGTTCCCAGACTGGGCGGACTCCGGATTTTAAATCAAGACCACCACTGAAAGGCTATTTTTTCCACGTCATCACTGCTTCTTTCTAAAAGAAGGAATAACTTCAATTCATTCATAATTTGATTTTTTATCCCCTGGTTACTCCCACAACCTTCCCGGTGTTATGGTCTAAGTTAATGACACGTCCGCTGCACAAGATGATGATTGTTCAGTGGTGTATGGTCTTGTACAGAAGCGGGATGACTCAGTATTTAAATGGTAGAAAGACAGGAGAAAACAGAATGCAATTTTCTGCACCAAAACACTGAGTCAAAGTCCTTATATGTGTAAATAGAGATGAGAATAAAAAAGATTCTGATTGTGATTCTAACATTACAAAAGCAGGATCTAACAGTAGAAATAAACAGGATAAACTCTCCCAACAGGAGAATTCATTTTTCATGCTTTTACTTTATTAAAAGGAGAAAAACATCTGAGACTCCCCCTCAATCTCCACCTTCAAGAAATCCCTAAAAACTCACCTCTTCAACATCGCCTACACCCTCTAACAAACCCTGTTCTCATCCTCCTTCTCTTACATTAGCTCTTCTCGGTACTGTTTTCACTGCTTGGTGTTTGGTTGTTATTCTTTGTTTATCATCTATGAGTACTCAGGAAAGCGCTTTGAAAGTCTGATGTTTTATTATTATTATTATGATTGTTAGATATTTCTTTAAAGCTCCTCATTGATTTCACTCATCTGATGATTGATCCAAGATCTCCTTCTAGTTCTTCACATGAACACATTTAGTATATCTTGGTGTCAGATTGCCCCCTGCTGGTCGTAAAGAATGTCACAGTGAAGGTGAAATGACAAATAAGAATGTGATTCTCCAACATCGAATGACATTATTGAATATGGAAAACATACCATTACTTATATAAAAAGATAGTCAGTATCATTCTCAGATTGATAGGAATGGAAAAAAAGTAAAACAGCAAAAGTAGGAAAATTAGTCGTAGTCGTTCTCTCTTTTAAAAGGAGCAATACCATAACTCTAAACACCCAGAGAGCAGGGATACAAAGAAAAGGTTGAACAAAATAAATAAACACAAGCAGTTTGACTTCACATCCTCAAACGATGAAGAATGTCGACATTAAAGGAATACAACAAGATTGAAGGGATTCTGGGTAAAATCAGCTTCAAAACAAAGACTGCAGCTTCAACTTCACCAGCAGAGTAAAGAAGTCAGAAGCCTTTCAAACGATTTATTCTACAGTCTACAATTCACTTAGCAGACGCTTTTATCCAAAGCGACGTACATCAGAGAGTAAGAACAACACAAGCAAGGATCTAGAAAAAAGGGAACAATGTCAGTAAGAGCAAACGATCAGCTTTGAGTCTGATTGGACACACAGGTGCTGACAGGAAGTGACCAGAGGCAAAGCACAACATTTACAGCAGTTCTTGAGAGCTCTAATCAGTATAGAAACCATCTTATAAGTCGTCGTTATCAAACAAAAACCATCGTCATTACCATCATCATCATCAATAATATGGAGACCATCATCATTAAGTTAGTAGGTATTCATGAAAGAGCTGGGTCTTTAGCTTTTTCTTAAAGGTGCAGAGGGACTCTGCAGAGCAAATGGACTTGGGAAGTTCGTTCCACCACCAGGGGGCGACAGAGGAGAAGAGTCTAGTTATCGTCTTAGGACCCTTAAGACGACTTAGATAAGATAAGATCAGACTTTATTGTCCGTTTGCATGAAAATAAGTCTTGCGTTAGAAATCCTCGCATCCCAATCAAATCACATCACACTCAAAAGACAGAACGTGAAACAGCCATTATATTTAAAATCACAGTGTGGAATCACAGTTCAGGAGGGACTTTCTTTAATATCATAACAAAGCTGTTCACTCTAAAATGAGTGTGAATGTCTGACATGTTGTTAACGATCCATTTTTATAATTTGTGCTCTTAATCCCAGAGGGTTCAGGAGATCTGGAAACTGTCTGCCTCAAATGTGAAGATGGATTCTACCAGTAAGTCTCTCGGGTTACGAGTTTCATTGAGTTACACCTCCATGTTAAAAATGTCTTCATATTGACGCACTCCCCACTTTTTATCATGGCGTCCATCAGGTTGGGCTCGTATTGTCATCATATGTGTCCTGACGGGACCTACAATGTGGACGCCGACATGGTGTGTGCTCCGTGTGAAGACAAGAAGTGTGCCATCTGTGACCAGTCCCAGTGCTACTGGTGTGAAGAGGGACACTACGTCTTTGGTAACATTTGAAATTGATATTTTTTTTCTACTTTTTTCTGCATACATCTCTTAAACAACTTCAGCCCTGCTCAAAACTACCAAACATTCAATCAGTTTTAGGACTTTAACCCTTTAAATGTCAGTTTGATTACTTGATGTCAATGTTGTTATTTATGAAAAAAAAAACCACAAAAATGAGTTATTTTCCATATAAAACATATTTGACGGCTGGGGGGATTTTTTTTTTTTAAATCATTCTTGGATATGTCAAAGATTATCAAAAATATTGACTTTGATGCATTGTTAGTTTTTGTGTAGCATCAGATTTAAAATGTAGTTCCCTGTTTGGACATTGGAGGGCGAAAAATGTCCAATTTACAAAAACTGCTATAAAAATAGAACAGATTGATATATCTATTGATTATTATTATTTGGTTTTTTTGGGGGGGTCTTTATTGAGAAGACCATCCTGATGAGGTTATGGCTTTCCTCTGATTCATACAGGTTCAAACTCAAATCATTGCGAGACCTACTTAGACTATTTTCTTTATTGTTTTTCACATGCAGTTTTATTTCCCATATTTTCAGTGAGGGAGTTTGATGCTCTTTCCAGCACCTTAGAATAACCCTGTTACTGTGATCATTGTTATCAAAGCTGAAGTTAAATACTGCCCTCGTGTGTCCAGAGGGAGAGTGTGTGGATCACTGTAAGGAAGGTTTCTTTGTGGACGAGGAGAGCCAGGAGTGTGAGCCCTGTCACCGCACCTGTCTGGACTGCGGAGGGCCGCGGTACGACGACTGCGACTCCTGCGAGGAAGGCTTCAGGCTGAAGAACGGGGAGTGTTTGGAGGGCAGACAGCTTGCCTCCTGCCCGGAGAAACACTTCAGAAACGGTGGGGCAAATGTTAATTTGACATCAGTTATCTATCTCGTCAACATGTCTATACGTTTATTGGCGTGGTTAAGAATGACCTGAATGTGGTTTCCTGCCCTGAACTAAAAGAAAATAAAACTGATTTCATTGATGCTGGTTTGACTCGTACTTGTTAAATGTGAGTTGTGACTTTTTACAGCTCTCTTCACCTTTAAATGAAAATAAAAACGTACTAATCTAAACTCCAGCTACTGAAGCATGATGCAATGAAATAAACATTTTATAACTCAAGTTTTATTTATTTAAAATACATATTATTAGTTTGAGTCACAAAGAGGCGTCGCCCCTTGACGCTCAGATATTTTAATTCACATTTTTAGTCGTGGCTCTGACTCATGTCTTTAAATGACGTCTCAGTGGTGTTTGTTATGTATTAACTTGTTAGGTATTGTGACTGTACTGTCGACAGAGGCACTGCTTGTCAATAGGCAAGGCAGGCAACTGCTTGGGGCCCCAAGACCAGAAGGGGGCCCCAAAGGGGTCACAAACTTAAACCAAAGCAGCGACCTAAAATGTGCAAATTTTTGCAATGACAGTAGGAAACCTCCCCATCTGACAGCACTCACTCTTGTTGCCCTGCAGAGTGTGGCATGCATTATTGCAAAGTTCGTCAACAAAGAAAGATGTGGAGGAATGATTGTCTATAGGAGAGAAAGAAGAAAACAATAGTCTGAGGATTAAGCATCGGGAGACTGGCAGAAATGTCAGAGGGACCCCAAAATTATTTTTTGCAGAGGGCCCCAACAGACTGTAGAATCGCCCCTGACTGTCCATAATGTTTGTCTTGTGTATGAATTGACCAGTGGCAAATGAGTTTCCCCGCTGGGGATTAATAAAGTTTTCTTATCTAATCTAATTTAAAATCTAAAGAAAATATCAAACAGCACTCACATCTGAATCGTTGAGTGCTGGACAAAAAATAAACAAAGGCAAAAGGAAGACTGAGTCCGCACACCAGAAGCTGCTCCAAATCACATTTAATGACATCTATCATCTATCAAGTTTCATTAAATGTGAGTAAGAGCAGCTTCTGGTGTTCGGACAAAATCTAGAGGTCTTTGGTCATTTTGCACATTCAGAACCAAAATAAACAAAATAAACATTTAGCAACCTGATCCTCAAAGAGTCCAGACGTCACTACGAGGAGGCATCTCTGCCTCGACACATTATGATAAAGTGAGTGATAGAGGTATATCCTTAAACCTACGCTCTTCTCCACTTCTCCACTAAAACCTTTTTAAAGGGAGAGAACTGGTGTGCACACATCCAGGCAAACAGCATACAGGAATGGACCAACTGCAGGGCCGCATTTCCATCTACAAGATCTTCCCCTGAGGAAGATGTGGACCTTTCTCTTTCTTCTAAAACCTTTTACTAAAACGGGTTGACAAGTTCATTCTCCTTACAATACATGCAAACATGTTCCTGTTTCCATCTGAGATTTACAGCATAGACTATTCATCATCGAGTCCGTCCTGTGGAGCTAAGAAGGTGAAAACTAAAACCTCTGCATTAACTTAAACTAAATACATTTCCCCTTCACATATTTCTTATATTTGATATGACAGTGGATAGAGTAGGAAACCAGGGAGAGAGGGTGGGGAATGATAAACAGGAAAGGAGCCACAGGTTGGACCCAAACACAGACTGCCCTCTTGGAGTACTGCGATCTGCCATCTGCGCCCCATATTTCGTCCTCACTCATCTCACACCCAGGATCCTTCTGCCAAATGATCCTCAGATTTTTGGCAAATATTTCAGCCCTTAAAAATGAACTCTCTAATTTCTAAGAACTTCCAAAAATAATATCCTTAAGTATGTTTTTCCAGCAATGTTGCATGCCTCCTTTTTTTAGATTATCCGCCTATTTTCCCTTAACATTCATGTCTAAATATTCTGTTTGTGTTTTCTTTCTTCCCCTCAGCTCGGGGTGAATGTGAGCAGTGCCACTCGTTCTGTAAGACCTGCTTTGGATCAACGAGGGAGAACTGCAGCAGCTGCTCCTCAGGTGTGTATTTTATTTCCCGTATGGTGCAGATATTTAGCTTTTGTTTGTTTTCTTTATTATATTTCTCACATAATTGCTGAGATATCTTTCTTTAATTCTTCAGGTCGCTTCCTGACTGCTCGACAGACCTGTGTGACTCGCTGTCTGTCCGGCACGTTTGCCAACGAGGCGTCAAGTCGCTGTGAGGAGTGCTCTGAAGGCTGTGTCATGTGTCAGGATGACAAACACTGCCAGCACTGCCGCAGTGGGCTTTACCTGCACAAAGATGTGTGTGTGGTGGACTGTCCCAGGTGAGTGTCATACTGTGTTTTCTTATTCCCCTTGACTGACACATGAAAAAAAAAAAGCACTTTCATAATTCATCCATCCTGATCTCTTCTCCACCTTGTTCTCAAGGGGTTTTCCTCAGGACGGTGTTTGTCAGCTGTGTGAGCCACAGTGTGAATCCTGCAGGGGAAACTCCACTCACTGTCTGAGCTGCGGGCTGCATTACTTCCTGCTGGATCACTCCTGCACGTCACACTGTCCGGAGGGATATCACGCCAGCGAGACCCAGTGCCACCGCTGCCCAGCTCACTGCAGAGAGTGCAATGAAGACGGCCTGTGCAAGAGTGAGTACGCTGGCTGGAGTGGAATAAGATAGAGAGGTGGGAGGTTTGAAGACATATGTGTTTGGAGAGTAATATTTAAATTATTCATAGCAAAGTTTAAAAAAACAAAACAACTGACAAAGGACTTCACAAAGGGAGCCAAATAAAAAGGGCAGGTTATAAAATATTTAAGAGCAAAGATTAAGAACCCACAGATATTCTTCATCAAAGAAACTATATAATAATTTAAATTCCAGCACAACCAGGGTCCAAATCAACTCATTATTTTTCTATCCAGGATGAGCGTATCCATTCTGTTTTTTAAAAGAATAAGTGGATATGTGCACCGGTGGCATAGTGGTTGGTTCGCGTGCCCGGTGAGTGGAGGGTGTCACCCTCTGGGTTCAAATCCAGCCTGTTGCTCCTTTCTCGCATGTTGTTCATTTCCGGCGCTGTCCACTCTCCTAATGTCACAAAAAATAAACCTTTAAAAAAAAAAAGAACAAATGGATATAATCCAGCCAATTGTATATGTTGACTGTCTTGAAATAAGATGTTATCTAAATGAGTAAGAACATCTCTCATCAAGACGTTTAATAAGTACATTTTTACTTATGACAAGAAATTCGTTTTTTTTTCCCGTTTAAATATGTTGAAATAAGAAATGTATCTAAACTTGTCTGGTAAATTTGACTAATGTTAATACTATTGGAGTAACACTTTTATTTTTTATTCCATTATTTAACCACAAAATAAACAAATAAACGTGTTGGGTGTCATGGAGAGTCAACAGACAACGACAACAACAAACCATTTACCACTTGCTTAGTTTGGAGTTTGTACCCTCTTTTTGTCTTGTTCCTGATCATCAGGGAATCATTTTATCTCAAACTAACAGTCGTTTAAGTTTGAGATTAAAAGCAATATTTAAAAAATTTAAATATTTTAAAAAAAGGTGAAATAAGTGAATAATGATAATAACAGTGCTAACTTTGTAGCACTGAAACAAAGGGATCCACAAAATGTGCAGCTTAAATCTGGCTCCAACATTTTATCACATTTTGTGTATTTTGCACACAAGCCTTGGGTGTCTTTATTTCACTGTTTATCATCTCTCTCTCTCTCTCTCTCTCTCTCTCTCTCTCTCTCTCTCTCTCTCTCTCTCTCTCTCTCAGAGTGTGCCCCTTATTACTTCCTCCATGACGATAAGTGTGTGGACGATTGTCCCGCTGGCTTCTTTGCCAGCGAGGGGCAGCAGGATTGTATGCGCTGCCACGCTGATTGTGCCTCGTGTGACGGCCCGGACTTTGACGACTGTGATGTGTGTCGCAACCCCGCAGCCGTCCGTTACAGAGGAGAGTGTCTGCCCGACTGTCCCGAAGAGACCTACCATGATGACAGCACCAACGAGTGCAGAGGTAGATCGCACAACGATCACCAGTCGTAGAATATACACACATCATCACCCCCTCCTGCAAACATGCGGTTCATTTTCCTGACTTTTACCTCCTAATGCATACATCTGTTCACTCTTTTCATGCCCAACATTTTACTTGAGGACTGGCAGGAAAAATATTAATCTGTTTGTATTCTCAAATGCGTCAAATATCAGGGGTTTTATGCATGTGTGAAAACACCGTACTGTTTGTAAGTTGGCAAACAGCATAAAAATGCAAATAACTCTGTGAGTCATGACTGTCTACAATGGGTGTGACACCCGAGTCCCACTGTCTGTGATGTTTTCAGAGTTTTCAGAGTCCTATCTTCACTTTGTTTACATCGCCCGGCCGGCCGGCTGACTCCTCCCCTCGTGTATAAAAGTTGTTTAATTGAGGGACTAGAGAAAAGAAGAATAACATACTGTACTCACTGCTTAACTGTGTTTCTAGATCACGCTCATTTCAGGTAAATTTACATGCAGTGTGAAGATACAAGCAGAATAAAGATCACTAGCATTAGCATGCTAACACAACAATGCAGCGCGAGTTGTTTTGGTTTCATGCTGGTGCTCAAGGGCGACATCTGCTGGATCAAAAAATCGCATATAAAGCCTTTAACTTTGACATTCACGTCTGTCACTTTAAAGTTGTGAAATACAAACATGAGTTTTTGTACCGCTGCTCTAAAGTCCATTTGCTTCTTATATAACATATCTGCACAGTGGTCACTCTGAACATTTTTATAGCTCTATTTGACCATTTAATCTTATCTATTGGACTTGTTTACATATTATCATATAGAGAGATCGCCTCAGGAATGTTCATCGTCCCTCAGTGTAGTGACAATAAAGTTCATTCTCCTTCTCTATCTCGTGGATTTTCCTTTTTTCCCAGATTGTGACAAGACATGTTCGAGCTGCTCAGGCCCCGAGCCCTCGTCCTGCCTCGTCTGCAACACAAACAGGCACAAAGACGCCAGCGGACACTGTGTGTGGTACAGTCAGTGCTCCCTGCGCTCCTACATAGACACCAATGGAGAGTGCCGACATTGTCACAAACTGTGCCATCGATGTTACGGGCCGGGCAAACACCAATGCTTCAGCTGCAATGATCCGCTCTTCCTTCTCAGTAAGTTCTAGCAGAGAAAACTCCTGATTAACCCTTTAACTTCTGTACACGAGAAGCTTGAATGAACCTCTTTACTTTGTCCATCAGACAGCACATGTGTGCAGCAGTGTCCTGTGGGTTACCATGCCGACGACAATGATGAAAACGTGTGTGAGCGCTGTCACTTCAGCTGCAAGTCGTGTGCGGGTCGTCACAGCGTTCAGTGTCTCGCCTGTGAAACGGGATTCTTCAAAGAGGGAAGCAGCTGCGTGGAAACCTGTTCAGAGAGGTTAGAAAACACGCACACACACACTTTTACACACACACTCAAAGTCGCCTTTCTTCTCTGCGTCATCCTCAGGTATCCTCTCGCTCTCTCTTTTCTTTCAGTCACTTTGGAAACACCAACACGATGGTGTGTGAGCGCTGTGACCCGTCCTGCAGCCGTTGTTGGGCGGGAGGAAACAGAAACTGTCTGAGCTGTCGGGAAGGTTACGTCTACCTGAGACAGCGGGGACAGTGTCTGAAGAGCTGCCCTCCAGGCTACTACCAGAGAGGACACTCCAACACCTGCTACCAGTGTCACCCCACCTGCAAGACCTGCAACGGTACAAACCTGCCATGAGTGTCCTTAAAGTTGCATACTGTATACTCTGATGATTTGCAAATCATTAAAGGCTTTATATGCTTTATATATTTTTTGATCCAGCAGATGTCGCCCTTGAACCAAAACAACTCTCGGTGCATTGTTGTGTTAGCATGCTAATGCTAGCGATCTTTATTATGCTCATATCTTCACACTGCATGTAAATTTACCTGAAATGAGCGTGATCTAGAAACACAGTTAAGCAGTGAGTACAGTATGTTATTCTTCTTTTCTCTAGTCCCTCAATTAAACAACTTTTATACTCGAGGGGAGGAGTCAGCCGGCCGTCCTGGCGATGTAAACAAAGTGAAGATAGGACTCTGAAAACTCTGAAAACATCACAGACAGTGGGACTCGGGTGTTACACCCATTGTAGACAGTCATGACTCACAGAGTTATTTTCAGAGGAGATACTTGATTTATATTATATTTAAGTGTGAAAAATCACAATAAAGACTTTAAACCCCCATATGTGATTTAACGATGACATCAAATCATCATGAGCTTGTTGTGAGTATGTGAGTCACAGTACTATGACAATAAGTGTTTTGTCTATCCTGAGCTGAGGCTTTTGATATACTTATTAGGAAATTACAGTCGAGCATGTGACAGCATTTGGAATTTCCTTTCCTCTTCTTTCAATTAAATATGCCTGTTGGCCTGAACAAATGACGACAAATCCCCCAAAAAGAACAGAAAAGACGGAAAAGGGTGGTGTAATTTAGGGTTTAAGAGTTATCTGTGTGTGTGTTTCTGATTTTCAGTGTGTGACTTGTGACTGCCTCTATGTTCAAGCGTTTCCCCTCTCTCTCTCTTTCCAGACAGGGGCGCTTCTTCCTGCCAGTCCTGTTACGACGGCTTCAAGTACATGGGTGGAATCTGTGAATCCAAATGTCTTGTAGGCTTCTACGCTGCGTCAAAGGTGACCCTCAAGCTTGTGTTTTTATTCACTATTCAGGAGTGGTTACATTTTGTTCAAATCACAGAAAGTGAATCAGTAAGTCAAGTTTTATTTTTTTGGTAACCTTTTATAATAACCATCATGAATAAAGTAAATTACGGTGGCCCTGAAGTGCAAAGCACAACGACAACTACAAATAAGAAAACAAACAAAATAACTTCTAACGGAAAAGGTAGGTACCTGCAGTCAACAATAATCGTCGCTGATTGGACGAACGCACTGTCTGTCTTTTTAACAGGAAGTAAATGCTTCTTAAAAGTTAACGAAAGCAGCATTTCCTTCTGGTTAAAAAGATAGACTGCGTTCGTTTTTTAATGTGTTTTGTGATTTGTCGTTGTGCTTTGCGCTTCAGGGCCACCGTAGTAAATCGATAGTTCATTTATTTCAGCTGAAACTTATTTAAAATATGAAAATAAAAGTAAAGAAATCATGACATCCTCTCTCTCTTGTTTGGCTGAAGTTTGTGTAGAGGTAATAACAACAAGTTTTCTTCTTTTGTTTTTAATTTTGGGGGCTTTTTATGCCGTAGAGACAGGACAGTGGATGGAGTCGGAAACTCAGGGAGAGAATACTGATCTGATTTTTTGAGATATTTCTCAGAAACAGGATTAGATAACAGAGTGACATGATGGTCAAAAGACATTTCATGCTGGTGAAAGATGACGCCTAGATCCTCTGGGGTATATTTCAGATTTAGATCATTGGCTCCAGCTGTAGTCATAGAAGAGAGTTTAGAGATAAATGCTGCACCAAGTCTGCTTTATAACACATTCCTCTGTTTCATCAGGGCAATGATCCAATCTGTAAAGCGTGTGACCCGTCCTGCCTTGACTGCCGAGGTCCCACATCAAAGAACTGCACAGTGTGTCCTGCCCTCCAGATGCTGTCAGACGACGGCCGCTGCTTGTCCTGCTGTGGAGACAAAGCACGGCACGACAGTAAACCGTTGTCCTGGGAGTGCTGTAACTGTAGCATCTCATGGGGTAAGCAGAAGCACACTCATGAACCCGCAGATACAAATGAATAAGTCAAATTCTTCTGGACTGGGAGAACTCTTGTTGATTTGTGTTTTTTTGTGCGTCTGTTATCTGTAACAGTTGCTCTGTGTAATGAATTGGATTTCTGGCTTCCTCACCGTGCAGACATGAGTTTCATGTTCCTGCCAAACAAAGGCTTCCAGACTTTTTGCATGATGTTAAATTAGTTCCTATTACAGGATTTTCCAAGCTTTCTCAGCCTCTGGCAGTCAACAACAAGACAGCCTTTCATTGAAAAAGAGAGTCTTGTAAAACACATGAAGATTGATCAGGAGCAAAACCAAGTAAAAGGGTCATGTCTAAGAGGGGGAATCGAACGGTAGCTCATGATATGATACGATATTAGTGTTGTAGTCAAGACCAAACTAACTGAGACCAGAGTGGTCCGAAAGTAAGACCAAGCCATTTAGGGGTCGAGACTGAGTCAAGACCAAGACCATAAATATGACAAAAGAAATCATCATCTTGGGTGCAGGGGGCGTGTCACTAACTTAGACTGTAGCACCGGGAAGGTAGCGGCCGTAAAAATACACTACACTACACGATACGATGTAATGCATGGCCACGATGAAACTATAAACCTCCATTCTACAATAATAAGAGATGGAAAATGTAGGGTAACTCAAGATATGAGATGATTTGGTAGGATAGGCGATATGCAACACCATCGATTACGACGATACGATACAGGGATTCAAGATCGATAATAGCAAGACAGATATCTGACGAACTGAAGAATATGAAACCCCCTTAAAAAGATGAAGTGAAGGATTTATGTATTTATTCACTGCAATTTGGTGTCAGTTTCACCTCTCATCACGCTGAATCCTTCAGCTTCCTTTCACTGCTGTCTTTCATTATCCCGCTGTCTTCTTCTTTGGCCAATCAAACTTCTGTTCACGTTACCTTCATTCATATCATAAGAGCCGACGTGAGGATTCATGGAGTAGTGACTCAGATTGGCAGGGAAATCTGTTTAGAGTGTTGTTGTTTTTCTAATTTAAAAATCGATGTTTGGCACCAGCGGTTAAATAATTGTGTCACACGAGTTAGGACGACGATATATTACCTCATGTCTGATTTCAGCTAACGCTCTGTCCCATTGTCTTTCCAGACGAGTGCATCATGGGAGTGAACTTTGTCATAAGGGACACGTGGGCTATAGAGGCTCAACACAACACCACCAGGCTCCTCATCACCGCCTGCGTCCTACTCATCCTCGCCATGGGAGGAGGGGTCTTCCTCTACCTCAACACTCGATCCAAATTCCAAACCCTCGCACCAAAAATCAAATCTGGAGGCTACGAGAAACTGGACACTAACGGAGACGTCGCCGCGCAACCAGCCACCTCTCCATTCGGGGAGTACAGCGACCGAATCATGGAGGGTGAGGACGAAGAGGAGGAGGACGATGAAGATATTGTGTACATGGGGCAAGACGGGACGGTCTACAAAAAGTTCAAGTACGGACTCTTGGACGAGGAGGAGATTGAGCTCGAGTACGACGATGAGAGCTACTCGTTCGGTTGAAGAAGAAAGCTCAAAAGACATGAGGGGGAAGAAATATCCTCTGAAATGTGACACTAAGTCTAAATATGTTGTTTGTCATTTGTTAGGGTTCTACACACTCGAATGTGATTGGTCAGATTTTGCGTCAACTGATCGTCGAATGTTGTTTTTTCTGTGATTAATCCATATTCTTATTTGAAACAGAGAATTCACTTTTTGTCTTCTAGACTTGGAATGACATTCTATTCTATGATCGGACTTGATCCATCCTTTTTCTCACTCATCAAGTCTGATGACCTCATAGCGATATTACACATGCTCATTTACTAAAAAGAACCCGTACACACACCGACGGCCCACCTGCGGGCCGTCAGAGTGTGTGCGGATTCAACCACCACAGGAGCCACAATCTACTCATCAGTCAGACACCAACAAGGAAACAAAGACTTACCATTTAGAGATTTACTGAACTTTTCCGATCGTAATTTTCAGACATAAACAGTCCTGCCTGTATATCTGAAAGGTTGGCAGTGGAATGAGGCTGTTTTGAACGTGTCGTGGAATATTTGACTATTTGGAGTCACGCCTACTCGTTTGAGTGTGAAAGTTTCTTTTGAACAAAGTATTTTCAAAGTAATTATTATTAGGAATCGTCTTGAAGACACTCCAGTCACTCCATGAGACGTTTAGTCATCACACCTGATTGTTTTCTGCTTAAACTCGTCTCCAACCCTTTAAAACACTCCCTATATGAAGTTAAGCTGGTTCAACAGATGGCACTGATCAGTTTTTGTGTGTTTTTAAAATTTGAGTTCTTTTTGTCTTTTGGGACCACAGTTTTAAAAAAAAAAAATGTTTTACTAAATCTTGAAAGAACCAACTCGATTTTTCTCTGCAGTACTCCGGTTTTTAAGATTTGAGATCTTATCACATTTTGTAAGTGAGGATGAGGACGGAGTAATGTACCAAAGAAAAGTGAATGAGGTTTATCTAAAATGAGACAGCATCGCAGGGAATAAATATAATCCAAAGAGGTACTATAACAAGGAATGTAACAAGCACTTCAAAAAAGGAATAAAAACAGAAGCTTGAATTCAGAGCACACTGCCTGTAGTTACACTTTCTGATCTTATTAGTGCTCAGATATAATTTTCTCTCCCAACAGGGCATCTTTTTATCGAGATAAACCGTGTAAAACCATCTCCAACCCATGATTTCTTTTTGCTAATTTAGGTGCAATTAATTTAGTTATTGATAACATTTGGCCGACTTGTTTCCCATGACTTTGATTTTTATTTATTTTTTTAAACTGGATAATTAAATTTGCTGAAAACATTTTACCAGTTAGATGATTGGACAAAAAGGTGTATGTTTATCGGCAAGCCCCAAAAATGTTCATGCATTAAAACATACAAAGTTGTAATCATCTGAATATTTAATCATTTAACCTGCAGGTCTTCTGAAACCTGTTTGATTAATGAGTAAGCGTGTCAGATGTGGTTACTTGGCAACGTAGAGTCTGGTGATTTACCTCTTTCTAATATCAGTTTGTAACTGGTTTACTTTGATATTTTGCAAACTTTTCACTTTGTTTCAAGCCTTTTTTTTTTTTAAAAGTCATAGATGTAAAAAAAAAAGATGATGATTTCTGTAAAACATCAGGGAAAGTTGTGTTTCACTCTCATATTTGTGTTTCTGTGTCGTTTACATTTTCTGAAATAAATCCTTTAAATTTAAAATGGTCTGATGTTTTATGCAACATGAAATGATGCAGTACGTCTGTTCCACTGATGCTGTTTAGAAAAACATAATCTGACCCGTCCTGGTTGATGTTTGAGTGTGAACTTCAGTACTAAGGCTCGCTCCTTTACAGCAGCTGATCTGTTACCATGCTTTGATACAGTATGAAGCAGTGGTTCTCAACTGGTCTAGCCTAAGGACCCACCACCAACTCCTTCATGAAAGTGACCCAAATTTCTGGTATTGTTTCGACCAATCAGGTTTATTGAATGAAAAATAGTGCAGTGTGGACCTCAGATGGTACAAAACTTGTGATGGAACAAAACCAACCTGTTTTAAGATCGCTTTTTGGCACGTTTTTTTTTCCAATCACATGTTTTCGACCCTCAGAAAACAGCTCCGCGACCCACTTTTGGGTCCCGACCCACCAGTTGACAACCACAGCTATAAAGAGTGGGTAATGTTTGGTGAGTCTTTTCCTCTTGTTTAGGCGACTGTTAAATGCTACCATCTGCATGTTCTGTTTAGAGACATGTTGTGACTTCATGGTCGTGCACCTGGCCGCCATTGCTGCTTCCCTGAGATAAAAACAAGTCCCATCATGGGAAAGTCTGCAGAGATTAAAAAAAAACTTCCTGGTTCCTCATCTGTTTCACACGAGGTGATAAAAGGAACACATTGACGTTGTTGGTTTTAACGCTGCATAAAAAGGCAACAAACATACCTGTCTTTAATATTACCTTTATTGAAGCCTTGAACACAAACGTGTCACAGAGGGTAATACATCCAAGGGTTCCAAGTAAATTATCTGCTTAAAATATTGGCTCTCTAGGCCTAACGCATGATAACACACTTCCTGGATGGTTTATACTGAAGTCTTTTGGTAAGAATATGGTGTTGGCCAATTCGGCAACTCTTTAAATTCAGGTCATAATATCTAAATATGCGTCTTCTTACTTCTACCTTATAAGGGCCAAATTAAGCAAAGCATATTACTATCATAATTCATGTTCCACAACTTCCTAATTTTCTTATTAATAAGCAGTAATTAGGAGGTTTTTGATGGTAAACTCTTGGTTAAAGGCAGGGTGGCTCATTTTCTCCAGATACACTTTTAAAGGTTTCTAAAGATATGCTAGTTTTTGAAAGTTACCAACCCTGCCTTTAATGACCTGTTAGCTATAGACTATGGTTCATGTAGACTCATAAGGGGGGATAAAGGGCCCAGTTTCCGTGGAAGGTCGCATGGAGGTTAAAAAAAAACATGGTCCATCTTAAGTTTAATTTCACACATAAATACTCACCATTATCTCGTAAAGCAACAAATACACATTTAATTTTTTGTTGCTTCAGTAAATTATAGCCTGTTACAAAATGTAAAACCCTTCTTTTAAAATGATAAAAGCATTATTCTTTGGTAATGTTAGCCAGAAAGCTAGGTCGTCCTGGTACTAATAAACCCTTTACAATGACTGATAAGCAGCCAGTATGCTACTAGTTAGCATGCTAATAAGAAACTTGTTAAATGTGAATATTCTGACCTCAATCTAAAGTGTTGCCCCCACTTCTTATGGGATGTTTGAAGATTATTTTATAGAAAAAAAAAGAAATAAATCAATGAAAACAATTCAAATCGATGTTTACTGACAGAAGCATTTCATTCTTTTTGTTTGGTCCTGATGGGGCTCAGCTTTTAGATACAATAATGGGACGCTCCAGGGAGCAAAGAGTTTGGTTTTAACTCTGTTATGTCTTAATGTTTTCATGACACAAACCCACTGTGTTAAATCGGCTTCTGTTCATTTAAACCTTTACCCTGAATACCAAGCAAACAGGTCAAGTCCAGTGTTTTATCTCACGCTGTACTCAACAAACAGACAAAACATTAACTCAAGGACATCTGCCTTAGACGCTGACGTCCCTGAGATCATGACTTCTACTAAAAATGTGTAACTAAGCACCGCTGGGGACAGTAGGAGTTAATTTTCAAAGGATTATCTTAACTTCAATCTTTGATAAGACTGTACTTTTAAAAACAACATGAGAGAATTTTTAAATTAAAGTCTGATTAGGTTAAATTTGAATCTGTGCACGCTGCAGGTCACACGAGGACACTAACAACATACAGGCAGGTGTAAACCAACAATGTTTGAGAATAAAATCAATCCCTCGTCTGCAAACACATTCAAAGCAAACCATGTGAATATCCTTGAAGATTTAAAGGAAGAATGTGAAACATTTTACACATAAATACAGCACAAATTAAATATATGTAAATGTCTCTCTGAGTCATGACTGTCGACAATGAGTGAAAAGCTTGAGTCCCGCTGGCTGTGTTTTTGTCAGAGCTGTGTTTACATCATGTTTACATGGACGGGACGACCTTGTGTATAACAGCTGTTTTAGTCAAGGACTAGAGAAAAGAAGAAGAACATACTCACTGATTATTTGGATGTCATGTAAGTGTGTTTGATCACGGTCATTCTGTGTCAATTCATGTGCAATATGCCTTTGCCTCATGTGAAGGGAATAATGAGTCACCACTGTATTTTGATAAAACTATTTATTTGCTAAAATTAAATTGAACAGAAGAATGACAAACATTAGAGATGTATGGAGCTTTAAACTAAACATGCAGCAACTCTGGTCCCTGTGTAAACGACAGTGGATGAAGGTACTTAAAACAATGACAGAAGAAAACACTTGACCCTGTTGCAATAACGCATCAAGACAAAAGTTATGAAAAACATCCTTCCTATTATCTCAGACAGGTTTTGAAGAAGCAACATGAGGGTTACAGGGACATTTCTTATGTACATTAAGTGCTTTAGACAGCTGACATGATGGATGGTGTAGCATTAATCATGAAGGAAAGCTTTCTTTAACAGTGAATGTGTCATTATAGTGAAGTAGTGTTTTTTTTTTTTTTATTTCTATCACCTCCATTTAAAAAAAACTAAAAACACAATCCCGATTTCAAATCCAAACTCACTCGGCTAAACTTTTATAAATATCATCTTTTAAAACAAGTATGTACAAGACTTCAGAGGGCTTTACATGTTTGTAGTTCTGTAGTATTTGCTCTGTAAAAGTTAAATAGGTGCAAGCACAAACGCACACACACAGGCAGACATGAGTAGACGTACTTAAAACACAAACAGGGATTTGACAAGAGTTTTTAAAATAAAAATGCAATGTTTACGAAGATAATCATAATGTAGTATTGTAGGTTTTTTCTGCGTACACTTCTGCAGGATCATCTGGTATAGTTTGCGGTTGGTTCAAACACCTCAGGAGTTTTGCCCTTTGTAACCGTCAGAGCACAGAACAAGAGCTGTGTGAGGACCGTTTTTTATCTCAGCTCATCTATCAATTATTTACCATCTGTAACTATGTGCACAGAGACTGAGGGTCCAAGTATCAGAGAAGCTGCGAGAAATGAACCGTCCTGCATAAGACCAGGCTCGGCGAAACTCAGTCTTTATATTTCCTGGACTATCAGTCTTTCTTTTACAATTCTTTTATCCGTCCAGCACACCGGAAGAGGGAGGACAGTTTAGTTACATTACAGTGCGACTCAAATCCAGAGGACAGACACGTTGAAATCATGTAAAAAAAAACAACACATATTTGTGTACATCCTTCATTAGATAACTGACCATACTGTTGGTTATTAAATATTCTCTATAATTTACCCTAATCTGCAGTATGAGCAGGTTGATTCATGTTGAGGGCAGTGAGAAAACAGCAGAGTGCTGAAAGGAGAAAGCGAGGATACTACAACATTATATTTATCTAATTTCCAGATGTAACCTCCCTGTTTCCACACAGATGACTTGCATTTAACCACGTTGTTGCATAAAGTCGTTCGACGGTGCAACGGTTGTGACAGATAATAATGCCCAGAAAGAAAACGCAACAGACTGTGACAGAGTCGGGGGGGGGGGGGGGGGGCAAAACTGAATAAAAAAATAAAACTGATTTTATTTTGTGGCCGTCGTCGTCATCATGAACCCTACTGTCCTACCTACAGCTTCATACAGAGCTGTGCTGGATTAGAGGCAAGCTGATATTACTGTACACAAATAAACAGAATCTATCACATGACGACCTTACAGGAAATGAAGCAGCAAAAATAAATAAAACAAAAAAGATTGACTGTTTATGAGAAGTCCATTTGCAGCCATGGCGACAGGAGAGAGATCACAGAATGAAGCCGTGCATTTTAATGACGCACCTGTGTCTTCATAGAAACCTCTGTGTTGTTCTGATGTGTGTGTGTGTGTGTGTGTGTGTGTGTGTGTGTGTGTGTGTGTGTGTGTGTGTGTGTGTGTGTGTGTGTGTGTGTGTGTGTGTGTGTGTGGACAAAGTGGCGCAGTCACAGCCAGCTGTCAGTGACCATTCATAATAGTCTGTGATGTGGATGCGGTGTTGGGGGGCGGGGCTGAAGGCGAGCTGCCGGCGCTGGTGAAGAAGTTATCGTCTCTCAGTTTGAGATGCTCCGGAAGATCCAGTTTGGCCTTGGCCTCCTCGATGTCGTTGTTAATGGCCGTGATGAGGGCTTCTGAAGGACAGATGAACACATGATAAGAAGTCAGAGCGGATCGCAGTGAGTGTCAGATTTGCTGACATGCAAAGAGTGGAGATTTTGTAAAAGAAATGAGTACGTGTTTGTAAGAAAGATGTCTTACCAAGTGAGTCGTAGCTCCTCTCTGGACGGATGTAGCCAACCATTACAACGCTGAGAATCTCCCCGTAGAAGTCCTCTTTGAATGTGTGAATTACATGAGTCTCCTAGAACCAAAAACAAACAACAAAAATTACCACCATGCAGTCACTCCAAGAATTAGACATGTTCAAGTCGTCGGCAGTGTTTCCCACTGATAACAAACAGTTACACGGGCAGGGGACACTTTCATAACTGCCCGGCACTGACAGCCCGTGGTGTGGAGGCGTGGAAACTGTTCCACTTTCTATTTGTTGTTTCTTTCTTCCTCTATGATAAAAATGCTAAACCGCTAAAATGAAGCTAAAATGTATTTTGTCTGTATTGATGCTCTGTATCTTTGCTTATGTTTTGCTACTTTGTATCTATTTGGATTTCTTTTGTCTTTGTTTGTTCTCACTTTAGTTGTCATGTCGATATATTCTTGTTTCATTTTGTTCACCTTATCACCAATAAAATAAATAAATAAATGGGAAAAAAAGCTTAACTACTCATGTAGCTTCTAAAAAAAGTTTACGATATCAATTATATTTATCCTTAATCTTCACGCTCATTATGCTATTTTTTAAGGTTTATTTTGGGGATTTTAAACCTTTAATTGAGAGATAGGACAACTGACTCGAACCTGAGTGGCCCGCCTGGAGGACCACAGCCTCTGTACATAGGGCGCGCACACTAACCACTAGGCTATCGGCGCCCCCCGCTCATTATACTCTTGATCTACTAGTTTTTTTTTTCTTTATCATGATGGGTCTAACTACAATAAAGGGAAACCATTTAAAGCATTTTTATGTTCCCAAAAGCCAGAGATAGTGTGTCTCTTCCCTAACAGGAATAATCACTCCTCTGAGTAAAACATGGAATCAAAAATGACAAAGCATGAGCCTGATCAAAATAAGTCTTTTCAGCATTCTGTAACTGGCATTCATGTGTGATGATGAGTGAAACCACAGTCACAGAAGATTCTTATTAGGTGAATGCAGGTTCCAATGAGCGGTTAATCATTTTTCTATATTTAGTCGCATTGTGTGACAGTTGATTTATAGTTAAAGCTTTGGAGAAACGAGTGGGCTTGTGACCACCTCACGTCTGCCTTTAAACTCCACATGTACAATAAGCATGCTTACTGTATGTTTCTGACTTCACTGAGTTTGAATGCTGCTTTTTTCTGGGGCTTACCATGGATTTCTTGGTATTTTTGTAGTATGGGTTCCAGCCAATGCTCATCACCATTTTGTAGACATCCCCATTACTGACACAGGCCCAGCCGTAGTAGATCCCAGTGCTGATATCTGCTGGAAGATGGTCCACCACTGAGTCGGGGAAATTGGCTGGAGAAAGGAGAGAGACGGTGGTGATGGGAAAAAAAAAAGTGTGAAATTGAGTTTCTGTCTCACTCATGAATTTGTTACAGAACTTAAAGCAAACATCTTCACTGGAAAGTTTTGCATAACTTCATAAAAACCTCCTCTTTAAGGGCGACGGTAGCCTAGTGCATAATGCGTAGAGGTGGGCGATATGTGAAAAATATCATATCACAATTTATTTTTGGCAAAATCACATTCATGATTTTTATCACGATTTTTTTCATACTGATATTTAGACAAACTTGTAAGTTGCTGACCAGTTCAACCAAACTTATTTCCCTGTATAATGTTTTTAAATGCACAAAAACTGTGTTGACAAGTTTAATCTATTTGAAAAACATCTTTGTAGGAGGTCTGGAGGTCTCTCACCCAGAACATCTTTAGCAACAGAAACGTCTTTCCCTCAATTTGATCAATATTTATGCACAATTAAATGATTTAGTTATGTGTCCTCTTTTTATGTTCATCAGGAACATTTTCACACAGCGATGCATTCATTTAAAAACATGTAGACTTCAAGTTCTTGTGTTTCTGTTCTATTTTAGCCCTGCAGAGTTCCTCCAGCTGGAGCTTCATACAGGCTCTGCAGCCTTTGTTGTTGTTTTTATGACATCATTGGACTAACTTTAGTTTAGTTTATATATAATCAAATATAATACAGAATGATCAAAGTAAGTTTTACTGACAGAAGAGTGTAATTCATAGAGGGGGCGGGACATTGTTGATTGACAGACAGACAGTCACCATGGTTACTCACTCTCACCTGCCTGCTGCTTTGTAACGTCGTTTAGTGTAATCCCTATAAATTCAGTTATCACAACAGGTGAGCTTCAGGTGGAGAAGCTTGATAAGTAACTTTTAAAAACTGAGAGAGAGCAGAAAACACCGACAGCAATATTTTAAACACCCGGGGTTATATCTCTCATCACTGTCTGTCTGAGCTCCTCTCTGTCTGACTCTCTGCAGACTGTGAACGTCCCTCCGGATCGTTAAACGGTTTCTTGTGTCGCTATCTGAGGTGTAAACTTAACTGTGCACACTATGCAGATAAGGTAACTGTTGCTCACGCCGTGTCAGTTTGGAAAAATATCAGAACAGTTGCATATAACCGGGATGGAGTTGTTTTTGCTGACTTTACTTTAAAGTTTCATTTTGGTTTTCACTGCTGCGGAGCAAAAAAGGAGGGGGGGTGAGACGCATCTGTGTCGGAGCATAAACTGCAGCATGATAGAATAAACACAGATCGTCAGCAAGTGAAAATCCTTCACGATCTAATATCGTTATATCGCCCAACACTAATAATGCACGCACTATAATAATTCATGCTCGTTGCTCAAAACGTGTTGTCATGCAGTTAGTTTAGTGTCAGTCGGTGACTAAACGTTTGGATGGCGGTGTATTGAAGGGGTTCCCAACCTTTGTTTTTTGGGATCGTGACCCCACAAAACTCTGGTGACCCCAAACGTCTAAAACAAATACAGCTTTTTGATATAAGTTAACTGATATGTTTTCAATCATGTAAATAGTTTATCTACTGTGTTGCAAGTAAACATGCACTGAAGACCACATAAGATTAATAAAGTAATTATCTATCTAAAGCTGCCAGCTGGGATGACATTTCAGCACTAATGGATGACAAACAGAGACTCAGAGAGTTTCTTGTTTTGACATTGGCTGTGACCCACAGCAGTCTGTGTTCAATTTATGTTGTATTGATCAATAAATACAAATTTCAGGAGATCCCATTGGAATTTAATGGGACCCCAAGGTTATGAAAGCCTGGAGTAATGGTTAAACGAGTGACCGTGCTAACTGGAGACTTTGAGCCGAACGCGTCGTAGAAGTTAGAGCTGCCATTGAAAATATAAAAGTCAAATGAATGAAGTTTCTCTCACAATACAAGCGTGACACTTTTATTTTTGCCACTGTGATAAAAACAACTGAACTAAAGAGGCATTTGCGAGGATTATTTCTGTTTTTCGACAGCAGCTGTAACTACGACAACAGCGGACGCGTTCGCCGGGAAAAGTCACCAGTTAGCACGGTCACTTTTAAAACCGCAACACCGGCAGAGACCGCTGATGAACAGTTAAGACGCATCTACAGTAACATTTCAGACAGGGAAAATGCGGCATTTGGATAAATAACCAAAGCCTGGTGATGTCAGCGATCCAATATGAGTCTGGTTGTTAAGTTAAAACAGATTCAGGAGTTAAACCTCGTCTGTGTAAGCTAACTGTGTAGGTTAGCTGTGTGTACTCTGCAGATGGTTAACTCACCTGTGGGTATTCCGAGTTCTTTGCTTCCTCTCCCGAAACCTCTAATGACCTCTCCCCGGCAGAAATACGGAAGGCTCTTCATGGCTAGTGTCCAGGAAACAACTGGCGATCCTTTGACAGACGCTACAGAATGACCTCGAACAACACAAGGAGGAAGTGGCTCTCGGATAAAAGTTCACCACTATGCTAGCTCAGCTAATCACTGTTAGCGTCATTAGAGGCACTCTGTTCCTGAAACGGCCAAATCCACAGGTGCTGGTCGTGAAGAGCCCGAAAGATGACCGTCTGACTTACTACCAGTCGCAGTGTGACGGTGAAAAGTGAAGCCCCGGTGCCCTCAAAGAGCCGGTGATGTTACATGTGTTTCACACATCTGCGTCGGTTGCGTTAGTACCGCTTCTGCTGACGTCATTGGCCGCGTGAGCAAAAGGAGGCCGAGAGTCACACGCTGCCTTCAGGTGCTGTCGGAAATACAGCAATTTAAAATGTTGCGTTAAAGCAGTGCTTCCTAAACGTTTTTCTGCCGGCAGAAAATGATACTTTCAAGCCCCCTTCGTACAATTCAACTTATATATATACGAAACACACAATCAGTCACATTCATTGCGAACATATTCCAATTGTTTTTTAAGTAAGAGATGAGATTAGATAAGATATGTTTATTTTCACTGTACAAGTACAACGAAATATTGTTGGAGCAAGCCTGTAGATGCCTAATATCAGAAATATACAAATACTTAAACCAAATATTCAAATAAGAAATACAATTAAATAATACGATATAGTATACAATATACAATTAATTTGCAGGTGACAGGTATAGAATAGATTAAGGAGGCAATAAAAAACTGAAATATGAAACTTCCACATTTGTGACATCTGGTGTAGATTTATTTTCAGCCTAACATTTACCTAGAAGTCCTCTCACAGAATTTGGCATGCTTTACTAGCAGTGCAAACATTACAGGAATAAAAAGGGAAAAAATAAATCATTTAAAATTACATTATGTTTTTTTTTTCAAATTCCAAATTCTGGCCGCTTTTTAACAATTCCAGGCTTGTTTCTTTCCCCTAACAATGTTTATTTAGCTGATCCTCAGGGACTCTTCTTTTCAAGGTCACATCCCAAGTCAACAAACCTAAAGTAATACAATCTATTGGATCCACAGTTAAGTCACAATATACAATGCATTTTAAATAAAACAAATTAAGGCACTCTATATCAGCCCCCCATCAGGCTAATTGAAATCACTGAATGATTTAGTCCGGTTGTTGGTAGTCTTTTAGTGCATGTTTGCAGATTCTTGAGCTTTTAAATCAAACCACAAGAGGGCGACATCAGAGCTGTCCTTCTCTTCAGTTCTCTCAGACCCTTTTTAGAGATTTTAACTTCAGATGCATGATGCTGATTTTTCCAGGCAAAAGAGAAAACCAACGACAAACTTCATCTCTTTGTCGAGGCATCCCAAATGATCATCTGGACCTTTAATGTACTCACATAGTCTTTTCTTTAATACTCCTGTGCTCTGTCACAATATTAACGTATTATCAATTTATTAAAATGTACAACAATCCTCGAAAACTAGTCCGAAGTAAGCAAATAGTGTCATTGCATTGATAAAGTTGTAAAATGTAAGACATTAATCTGATTCAGCATGAAAAAAAAAACAATTCAATCTGAAGGTCATAACAGAGATAGATAAGGAGATCCTTTACGGCTAAATGATGTTTCAGCTATTTCACAGACCTTTAGCTGAATTTGTAAATGCCACAGTGTTTCAATAGGGCATTGTGTATGAATACATCTTCACTATGAGCAGCTATAAAATTGTAATGAAGTGTGTTGACTGCATACAAATTGGTTTTCCATAAAATTCTTTGAGCACATCAGATGACTCAGGCCTGCATCATGAGTTGACGGATGAAATTTCAGTTTTTACACTTTGTAAGTCATGAACACACACACAGGCTGAAATATACACACACATGCAGAAACAGGATCCTATGGACATGCACTAATGGAGTGAAGTCAGAGTGACGGAGCGGCCCACAGTGGGCGCTCCTGAGCTGATGGTGGGGAGGGGGTTCGGTGCCTTGCTTAGGGGCACCTCGGCAGTGCTCAGGAGGTGATCTGGCACCTCTCCAGCTATCAGACCAACTTCCATATTAAGTCCGCACCGGAACTTGAACCGGCGACCCTCCGGTTCCCAACACAAGTCCCTACAGTCTGAGCTACTGCCGCCCGCCGTCAAAATGACAATAAAGAAAACTTGACTTGACTTACAGTAAGATTGCATTTTAAGGTAGAAGTAGATGCTGTATGAGGTGTGAAAAATGTGGTGGTATTGATTCGAGCCCGGCTTATATGGGATTTTTGGGGCCAATACCGAGATAGATATCAGTATGGATATAAACACAATTTAATTAGAGTGTAAAAAATAAAAACAATGCAGCACAGTTTTTATCGTATTATCACAATGTCACTGCTGATTAGTGTTTTCCAACCTTTCTCCTTGGAGCTGCTCTAACTTCAATCCCCCCCCCCTCCCCTCCTGGACACACACAGGGAAAAAAGTGACATTTTACCATCTAGTTTTAAGAAAAAACTATCCATTAAGTTTTGTCCAGTCCTGTGCCAATCTAATGTTGTAAAATGCTGACTGTAATTTTGAGGGTCTTAGCCTACACATGCCTTTCATCAACACCTCAATGTACAGGAACAAGTTCAACCAGTGCAACCAGTGCACCAAACAGGTATCTGTCCCCAGTCGTGGAGCCAAAAGGAAACGTGATGAAAAGAGGAAACTCAAATGTGTCCGCTACTGGATGAAGGCACAGGTACGGTAAGACTGTTTTCATTTTGTTTTAAACTGCTTCAGTGAACACAAGCTGTAAATGAGACATGGTCGTGAAGTCAAGTTTATCATTCAGATTCAAATATATTATACTATTTGTTGAGGAATTTGTCAACAAATAGATTTGTCATTACTCTCTTCAAAAAGAGGATCAAGTTTTTTCTTTCCGTGTTATATATTGTGATTTATTTTTGCTCTGTGATTGAGGCGAGGAAACATTGATAATGCAGAAAAAACCTCATGAATTAGGTGAACATAGAGGAGAGTTTGGATCCCAGTTCAGGTCATTCAATTCATCTTCTGCCCATCAATCACTTGTCATGAGCCTTTGTCCCCTTGTTACTTCAATAACTTTATTTTCAAAAGAAGATTTAATGGCATTTTCCCTCCCTTGTGTTGTTGTTTTTGTTCCTGTCAGCAGTTCAATGTACAAAGTTAATTTTCTAGAACATTCCTGTTTTTAAAAAAAAACTCCCTTTTGCAGTATTTAAGACGAGATAAAATATGAAGTCAGGCTGTGCGATATGTCACATTGAAGGCAGCGAGCAGCGTTGAACTGCTTAGTCTAACAACGATGATTTTAAATGTATTTTAAATATGTCAAATAAATCCTTGTATCCTGCAACTGTAAAGAAGAATTTGCAGCGAGAACAAGGAGTCAGTCAGGTATGTAGTGAGAATACTTTTCTGTCACTAAGAGGGGGGGGGTTGCGAGACCTAGAAGAACAAGTTCTGTCAGCTTTCCATGATTGTAGACAGTTTAGTTGGTCCTGATTTATGTGGGGCTTAAACTAAATCAAACAAATGAGCCATGTATTATCAGTTTATGTGTGGAGTGCTGCACAGTAGTGTGTTGTTAGAGCTTCAGTCTAAGAATACTTGATCTGTTCCTTTAACTTTCCTGGGAACCGTCAAGAGCACTTTTTACATTCTGAAGAAATATGTTGATATCACCGACGGACTAGAAACTAAAGACTGAATTTATACTTTTAAAGGTTAAAAAAAACCAAGTTATTTCTCATACAGTAATTCAAAAAATGTAAATCAGATCACTCTCACTCAGAACCAAGAAAGAGTAATAATATCAAAAGGGAGCATTGTTTTTACCATACCATTTATTACTCATATATTTTACAGGATGTAATCTTTAATGCATGCACACATTTGTATACATCTCACATTCTGTATTAATTATAATATGTCTTAGTCAGAATCAGAATCAGAATCACAATCGGGGTTTATTGCCAAGCACATTTACACAATTTGACTTGGTGTATTGGTGCTAAACAATTAACAAGGAAATAAAGCAGAACTAGCAACAACTTAAATAATACAGAAGAAGAAGATATTTCAATATATAAAATAGAATTTAAAAATGTAAAATATAAAAAATAAAAAACACAAAATGTACAAAAGGTGCAATGTAGGAGTCTATTCCTGTCTTCTATTTCTCACCCTGTATATTGTGTCATATGTTTGGGCTGTATGAACATATTTTAAACACGTTTATTCTTACAGTTTGTATCTTCCATGTTCACTCTTACATAACGCTTATGAGCAATTTTCAGGGCGGCTGTGCCTCGGGTGGTGGAGTCGATTGTCTCTCAGCCTAAAGGTCTCTTGGTTTTGATCCTCAGCTCCTGCACAGTAACATTTCCAATGTGTCCTCGGGCAAGACACTTGATTAGTTTCTTCTGATGGCCACTTTACACAGCATACCATTAATGTGTGAATGTGTAGGTGAGACCTCAGTGGAAAAACGCTTTGAGTAGTCAGAAGACTAGAAAAGTGCTGTACAAGCTCAAGTCTTTTTACTAATTGCAATGCTTGAATTACTTTTTTTAAAGCTTTTATTTGGCGCTAGGACAGGACAGGAACTAGAGTCACAGAAAGAGAGAGAGTGGGGAACGACATGTAAAAAAAGAGCCACAGGTTAGACTCTATCCCCAGCCTCTGTACAGGGACGCAGGCACGAACCACTGGGCTACATACAGTACATGTCTTTTTTGTGTGCATTCAAAGGTATCAGTCATACTGAAGGTGCGTTATATGGAAGCCCTAAGCAGACATGCGTCCATACATTTTATTAACCCCTTTTTCCCTGAGGCATTTCTGCTTGTTTTCTTGAGATCTTCGCTTTTATATGTTGTATCCTCAGAGTTAAATAAGCACAAAACAAGCGTAGAAATATGCTTTGTTACCTCGTGTGGGCAATGGCAGCATGCCATGTTGTGTTCTGGCCTGTCACAGTGCACAGACTATTTTGATGATGAGAAGACAATTGGATTTTCAAATATCATAATTTTAAATGCAGTTACAGGAGAAAAATGCAGACGAAACATTCAAGATCACATTTTCATTTTAGAATTGATTCATTAATTTCTTTGGCTAAAGAATGACATGCATTGTGGATTCTCCTATCTCATTTCAGGTACCTATAAGAAGAGGAAGTCATCTCTGGTTATGCACAGACCCAGAGGAACCAGATAGTTTGGATTTGATTTTAAATTAAGATTTTTTTTTTTTTTTTAGGTCTAAACAAAATTAAAATAAAAGCAGCTTATCATTGTATGTTTATTATAATGATTATTTGATAATATTAGGCACTTAATGTTTCATAAAAAGATAACCTTGAACTCTAGAAAGCAGAGCAGATAAAAAGAGACTTCACAAACAATTAGGATGCTGCGACAAAGACGGCTGTTTATGAAGCTCAGCTTGGTCCTGGGATCACTGTGGATATATGTGCTGCTAGATCACCCAAAAGCAGCCTGGGATCCTACCTACAGGCTCATGTACGGCTGGCTGGAATACACAGACGATGACGGCGGCCCGGTGAAAGTGTGCAACTGTTCAGCAATCCTAGATGGAGAGAGGGAGGCTCGAGAGCAGGCCAAACTTCTGACCATCACCAAAGACTTCCACAAGAGTGTGCAGATCCCTGATGAGTATTATATCAATGCCACCCAGGACTGCAGGTGGGATGCTTTAAACTGGTTTTAACCTTTAAGCTGTTGTAAAAAGATAAATGCACGCCATCATCTGATGTAATGAAATTGATTTGGCAGAAATTCGGAGGTAGCATTCATTCTCCATGTGGTGTATTTACAGGAATTTCAAGCGAAGCAGAAAATACCTGACATTCCCATTGAGCCAGGAAGAAGAAGACTTCCCTCTGGCTTACTCGATAGTTGTGCATCATAAGGTATGATGTTTCTAAAGCTGACATTCCAATTTGGATAAAGTTCAAAACAAACAAAAAAAAGAGAGATAAAAAAAGTGGCAGCGAGCATCACAAACAGTGCAGTGGAATGCACCCAACTGTTGTCATAGCAACCTGTATGCACAGGTTCACTGTGATTGGCTGGTTGCGTTCAAAGTTACCCTGATTGGTTGTTTGATTCAGGCTGGATTAAAAAAAAAAAAAAAAAAAAAAAAAATATATATATATATATATATATATATATATATATATATATATATATATATATATATATTTATATATATAGGAGGATCCTCGGACACACATTTATTCAAAGGAACATTTTAAATCCAATTAAATCCAATTTAAAAAACTTTATTTATCGGTTCGGAACTTCAGTTACGTAAAAAGCATGAATGAGAGCCCAGCACAAAAACAAACCGCAAACACACGCTCGTATCACATATCAACATCCAAAGTGCGATGAAAGAGTCCTGAGTGAAGCCGAAACAAATGATGCACGACAGATTAGCAATACATAATGATAACATGGGTTAAAAATGAATAAACATTCCCATTAACTTTGAGATACATTAAGAAGCAAGATAAATATGTCATGAATAATGTTCTTTCATGACTTCTGACGGATGTGTGAACATCACTCCTGTCCTTCAGCAGCTTCATCGGTTAAATATCGCATTGACTTTAAGATTCTGCTCCTCACCTTTAAGGCCATGCATAACCTCGCTCATCTGTACGTAACTGCACATCAACACAGCCACCCGCTCTCTCAGGTCTTCTTCCATTCAACTCACAGCCTGTCCAACAAGTTAAAAGGCTGCAAACAGAAAATCCTATTGTGAAAAAGCTAAACATTTTCTGTGGCTCCCTGAGTAGCCTTCTCGAGTAAGAACCTGCCCAATGCCAGACACTAAAAGTCAGGATATCCAAACGTCTATTCCTTAAATCTTAACTGATTATTGGCTTAAGTTTGACTCCCAACTTTTTTTTTTACTGAATCGCTGGAGTGCCTCTTTAAAAAGCAAACACGTGTAACAATCAGTATAGTCTATGGAACATGCCGACACACCTGACTTCTTCTTTGTCGTTTCCCAAAGGTGCAGAACTTTGAGCGACTGCTGCGAGCCATCTATGCACCTCAACATTTCTACTGCATCCACGTAGACAAAAAATCTGACGCCTCGGTGCTCTCTGCCATCACGGGCATCGTCTCCTGTTTCCGAACGTCTTCCTGGTCAACCGGACTGAAAGCGTGGTCTACTCTGCATGGCCTCGCGTACAGGCTGACCTCAACTGTATCGGGGATCTCTATAAAATCAGCACCAAATGGAAATACTTCATCAACCTCTGTGGCCAGGATTTCCCTCTAAAAACCAACTTGGAGATCGTGAGGATGCTGCGTTCACTAAATGGCGGGAATAGCTTGGAGTCGGAAAGAATGGCTGACGCTAAGAGGTCGAGGTTTTCTTATGTCCACAATATAACTAACGGAGACATCCAGGTAGGCCACTTCTTTTAAAATTGCTGAATTCATGATTCTCACATTTTGACCCTTAGTGAAACTTACAATATTCATTTATTTTTTCTTCATATTCATTCACTATTCACATTTTCTCAGTTTACAGGAGTTTTAAAGGAGCCGCCTCCATTCAACATCCAAATTCTGTCAGGAAACGCCTACATAGTGGTGAACCGAGGCTTCATCCGCAGCGTCCTGGAGGACAAACGAGTGCTGGCCCTTATCGAGTGGTCCAAAGACACCTACAGTCCCGACGAGTTCCTCTGGGCGACCATCCAAAGGCTCCCCGGCGTTCCTGGATCGACATGGCCCAACCCGAAATACGACATGACAGACATGAGCGCGATCGCCCGGATGGTGAAGTGGGTGTGGCACGAGGGGGAAGAAGGGTCGGAGCAGGCCGTGTACCCGGAGTGTCAGGGCGACCACGTCAGGGCGATATGTGTGTACGGGGCTGGAGACTTGCAGTGGCTAATTGAGCAGCGTCACCTCTTTGGCAACAAGTTTGACGCAGAGAGAGATCCCATCGCTGTCTTCTGCTTGGAGAAGTATCTGAGACAAAAGGCCCTGGCGGAGTTACGTTAGTCGACTTAGAAAAACCAACAAGGCCGCTGGAGAGAAGACTGGTTAATTCTCTACAGATGTTTCCACCAGGTCAGGGTCAGACTACTGGAAGTGCCTTTGTTAACATTTACCCGCAGAATATATACAAAGTGGGAGGTACGTCTAACATGTAAAGCGAGGAGGCGGACTTTGTGACAGAATACTACGTACATGACGATATCAGAAAAGAGAGGAGGCGGACCACTTTATCCACAGGAACTGCTAAGATCAACACAAAATGAAAGTTCCTCACAGGTGTTTTTACATTTTCCAAAAAAGGTCAGAGGGAAAAAAGTCTTCTTGAAGATTTCATACCGCCATCTGATGCAGGATACCTTTTTTTTGGATAAAGTGGACTGGCACGTCCAAAAAAGTCTGGACTCTCCAGTCGACAATCCCCCTGGGTGGTGCAGCGACACTGACTCCTGTCCTTCTATATTTATCTACTTTTTAATTCTTCTGAAACTGCAGGACAGAGTCCAAGACAATTTTCCCTTCGGGGACAAAGAAGTATATCTTGTCTTATCTTAGATCAATGTTATCAGATATATCATTATACAACGTTCAATGTGTGCATTGTTTGTGTGAACAGACTGTTGAGAAATGTCATCATTCCATGAAAGTTGAAAATTAACCAAATCAATTTTAGAAACTGAATGCTGCGTCAGGAAAGACTGTGAGGAAATATTTATGAATGTGAAGATATGATTGGTTGGAAAGTAGTAGCATGAAGTACTAAATAATTCAATATGGATTGAAGGAGCTGCAGCTCACTACAACACCTTCATTAAGCGTCTGGAGAAGTGGTTCTCAGCCTTTTTAGATTTAAAGTCTTTATATGTGATTTTTCATACTTAAATATAATATAAATCAAGTATATCCTCTGAAAATAACTCTGTGAGTCATGACTGTCTACAATGTCCCATTGTCCCACTGTCTGTGATGTTTTCAGAGTTTTCAGAGTCCTATCTTCAGTTTGTTTACATCGTCGGGACAGCCGGCTGACTCCTCCCCTCGTGTATAAAAGTTGTTTAATTGAAGGACTAGAGAAAAGAAGAATAACATACTGTACTCACTGCTTAACTGTGTTTCTAGATCACGCTCATTTCAGATAAATTTACATGCAGTGTGAAGATACGAGCATAATAAAGATCGCTAGCATTAGCATGCTAACACAACAATGCAGCGCAAGTTGTTTTGGTTTCGTGCTGGTGCTCAAGGGCGACATCTGCTGGATCAAAAAATCGCATATAAAGCCTTCAAGAGCCACAATGACCAAAAAAATATTTCTGCAAGAGCCACAATCAAAAAAATCTCTTTCTTTCCTAAAACATGTGTGGGAAACAACGTGCCATGACTTGCAAAAGAATAATTTCTGCTGACAATGTTTCCCTTTTCTAAATAATTACTTTGGAATTTTTTTCTCCGAGTAAGTCCCAAAATGAGCCACATGTGGCTCGAGAGCCTCGGGTTGAGTATCACTGGTCTAGTGGAATCACGGGATACGACTAGGTTGTATTGTAAATGTAGAACTGGTGATACTCATTTAATGAGCTAAAACAAGAAAGTTCTTCAAGGATCTATTGTTAGAAAAAGAGTTCCCTCAAGTTACCTAGTCTGCCTTGTTTTTGTATCGTGTGTCATTTTGTATTCATGATGAAAGCCCAACCAGTAAATTAAAAAGAGATTTAAAAAAAAATCTGAGGTGACTGTCGAGGAGGAACAAATATTTTTAATGAAGAAAAAGCGTTTACATATTTTCCAATAAATTAATACTTTGCAAGCCAAAAACAAATGTGTACAAATATAAGAAAAAAAACCAGAAGAGAAGACACCGTCTATACTGTATCATCATGACCATCGGTGAACTACACAACAGAACTTCTTCATCCCCCCTCCTCTCTCTCTCTTACACACAGACATACAAACACAACCCAAACAAAACAAGAATAAAATTACAAATTTGCTTTTCTGTGACTCTCGATCTCAAGCTGTACCTACTAGATGCATGCAACACATTATTGCAGCTACTGATAACTGCTATTTTGCTACCTTTATGATTTCATGTTGTGTTTTTTCCCTCACAGTGATATACAGTGTTAATAGTACAGCCGACTGACTGACAGCCTGTAGAGATGGAAAGTAACTCAAAGAATGGAAATCCCCACAGTAACATACCAAGCTAGTCTAAATGTCACCCCAAACAGGCTCGTACAGTCCTCCTCCTTTTGTGTAGGAGTCACATTTTTGTAAACCTCGACTACCTGTAATTAGCCCTGATAAGATACCAACATTTTAGACAGAGCTACAGGGCTCTCTGATGAGAACACAAGTGTTTATTTGTGAGCACACAGGCTGTTACTGAACATCTGTTTACATGGATTTGGTTATAAATTAAAACAGCCTTGCTTGCCGTGGGCTCAGATAACCTCCACACTGACTGTAACAATGGTTTCAAACAGGTGCAGAGCAACAGGCAGGTTGGGCTAGTACATGGATTTTTAACAAAGCCAGTTAGTAATCCCTCCAAAGATGACGTCAAAGAAAACAACAGCTCCCAAATAAGGAACAAAAATCCAGTTGTGTGAAAGGTCATAGTACGGGGAAAAGTCTCTGCTCTGTGAATACAGTGTCATGTTCAGTGACCTCACATCCATACTTTCCTCCTTCATTTCCAAGTGACGTCCTGCTGTTATATACCACAGCACTTTCCTTTTCTTACCCCATGATGATAGTTATTGGAGTATCAACAATGTGCCACACACACGTCATGCTGGAGCTGACTTATATTCAGAGACGCCGCTTTAGGCCGCAGCACGATGCAGGGAGGAGATAGGCAGCAGCCACGTGTCTTCAAGTTGTCACACAGCAGAGTTTCCTCTCTTATCGGCTCTGAGTGAGAGAAAGAGAAAGACTTGTACACCTCTTTGCCAACAAGATATTCAGGTAACACTTTAAACTGAGGTCACACTATTCACCAATAACTCGTTGTGGAAACACTTTATAATAACCATTCAAATAATGTTAATAGACGCTTTATAAAATATTTACAAACCATGAACAAATATCTGGACCATGTTTATAGATGTTTTATAAACCATCTCTTAAAGGTTTATAAATCATTTGGTCATCATTAACAAACACTTTATAAAGTATTATAGTATTACAGATAGTTAGCAAACATTGTTAACTATCAAATCATTGTTTGTTAACAGTAAATAACTATTAACTAATGGTTAATTAACTATCTATTAACCCTTATTTACCCTTTATAGATGATGGTTATTATAAAGTGTTACCCTAGTTGCTTATTAGCATGCTATATTAGTAGCGTTCAGGCTGCTTATTAGTCACTGTATGATGTCTAAACAGGCTGGTTCCTCAGACAGAGACTACAGGGCTGCAGCAGAGAAGCTTCAAGTGGCAACTGAAGACTTTCATTTTGCTTTTAAACATCTTTTTTTGTGAAACGAGTAAAATCCTGGAGCTCATTCCCTGGAACTCGCTACCTGATCACTTAAAACTTGACTTTGCAAATTTCACGACTTTTAAGAGAGCTATCATATATCCTGGTTAGGTCAGCAACAGACTTGTACTCATGTTTAATTGTTTGTATCAAAGCTAAATGTGTGACTTATTGTATCTTGCTGTACCCGGATTACTCTTTTCTCCTTTTTGACAGTTTTTATGTTTTATTTACACAAAAGCAAAAGCTAGCATCCACTATAAACACTTTGATACTTTCATTGGATTGCTGTTTTCAGTTTGTCTCTGTGTATTGTATCCGTCCTATTGGGCTGGGAATCTTTGGGTGTCTCACGATTCGATTTCGATTCTTGGGGTCACGATTTGATTCAGAATCTATTTTCAATTCAAAACGATTCTGGATTCATGATTTAAAGTCTGTTTTTGAATGAGTATTACATACTTCAGGATTGACTCCAGTCATCTGTGAGACTGGCTGAATTTATTGCTGCTATTCTAGTGAGTTAAAGAGCTGGCCTTAGCACTAAGCAGGGAGGGACTGAAAAGCTAAAAAAAAATATTTTTTGAAGTTATGAAAAATTTCCAAAGATAAGAATCTAAATTTTTACCTAAATATTTTTTTTCCCACCCCTAGTGCCTATCAAAAAAAACTGTTTAAAACGGATTAATACCTTATTCTACATGACCATAATCGATCTCTTACAGGTCATTAAATAAGAGTTTGACCTTATCACCATCCTAATGACTGCTTATTGATAGTAAGTTAGGAAGTTGTTGAACATGAATTATGATGGTAACATGCTTTGCTCAGTTTGGCCCTTAGAAGGTAGAAGTAAGAAAAAGCTAAGCTTGGAAGCTTGCAGGTCAATTTCACATAATAAAGTTCTGGACCATCTGTACACCTTCTCCAATTATTTAAATTGTTTTGCAGCAGAAGACAAATTGTCAGAACAGAGACAAGCTAACCCTTAACAATGCCGGGAGGTTTCCTGACCTGTACTCATTGTCGGCTGGCTCAGAGCGCCAACTATCCAGCTAAATGGTCAAAGCTACATATTGACTGGAGTTGAACACAGAACATCTTTGTTTAACTTGTGGAGAAACCCAGAGTCTCTACTAAAGAAAACTCAAGGCATACAAATCTCATACATGCTTACTGCTCGTCAGAGTAATGGAGACATCACATATCCTTTCACATTGACAGAACCTTGATGACCTTATATTATCGTGCTTTTCAAACGATTTCTTACTCTCTGCAGTGACCTCACAAAGTTTGTTCATACGGCTCACTGGACTGCTAACCTATCTTTACAGGGTAGAGTTTCTTGTTATTGTTTGTCGTGGGAATATTTGGCAGTCGTTCTTCTTTGTCTGTTAAATTTCACACGCTGACAGAGAACAACAACGACGACAGCCTTCTACTTACTTTACCGCTGTGTCTTGTAATTCTGTATCCAGTCTGGTTTAGCATTAAAGTAAAGGGCAGAGAGGAAATGTTAGTGAAACAAGGGATTGCGGAGGGGGCAGCCATATTGTCAGTAAACATGCAGTTGCTGGGGATTAGTAGCCTGTTTCCACATTGCAATAGGAGGGTAAAAGGAAGGAAAGGGAGAGAAGCATCAGCGCTGTAAAGTAGGGACAAAGACAAAAGATGTAAAGCACAGGGTGCGATCATTTTCCAACAATAAACCAAACCAAAAGCTAGAATAGTTTACATTAAAACAGAGGAACACTTTCAGACTCCAAACATGCTCAGGTGCACAAAACATGATGAAACAAAAGTAGAAGCCATGGCCCTTTAGATAAATGATTGGGCTGAAGTTAGAACGTACACATTCTCATCTCCACTGTTCATCAGCCTGTCGGTGTTTGTGAGTTTTAGGAAGTCTGCAAGCTGCACAAAGTCCCCATTTCGTCTGTGAGGGTTTATGTTTGGCATGTAATGTGGCTTTCTGTGAGGACTTGTGATCAGGACTCATTTGACCGCCTCTTATGCAAATAAGAGCCTGCACATAATTTATGTTTGAATGGACATGTCGTTTTCTCACGGCAGGAGGCAGCATTGTTCACCCAGTTCCTCGGTTAGCTGGTGGACTATCTGCAGATGATGTCATATAAAGGGAGCTGTCTTTAAAGTGGCCCAGGACACATGAGCGTTCACACTACCAAACGCCTCCCAGACCCCCCTCTGTATAGCCGTTTTCACATATGCACTCCGGATAATATCTAGATATTTACAGGAGGACCGCTCCGGAGATTCTCCTGACCTAGCCGTTCACATATGCTCCTCACAGCGGGGGACTTTCCCTGTCAGAGGGGAGGGGGCGCAGGGGATTTCCTGAGGTAAGACGTGACGTAAATAAACAACGCGGAAGTAGAGGCCGAAGCAACAGAGTCTGCTACACAACGTTATAATGAGCCGCGTTCAGACATCAGCTCTCTCGGACTTTCTGCGGATAAAATACTCGGGGTCTAGCCGGAGAAACTCTGGGTAAATTCCGCGCAAAAAATGCGGCTGTTTGCGTTCACACAGTCTAAAACACCTCCGGGTAGCCAAATGACTTCTGTATGGGTGAAAAGGGTTAAAGTGGTCTGAGCTATTGACCTCTATCTGTCCTCAGGACACATTGGGGTGTGTTCACGCCTAGCATTGAGGCTTACCTTTTGTTATCTGATCACCCAGGAGGACGTTTAGTAATGCAGGGTTCAAACAAGGTCATAGCTGCATTGACTGATTCGTTCGATCAGGACTATGTAATTTTAAATAGTTTCGGACACATAGCATGAAACTGATGTGTTAAAAGAGTTAAAAGCCCTTGCGTATTTTCAACTCTTTTCCTGAGTCCTTTGCAACATTATAATAGATGTCATGTAAGATATTATATGTATAAAATACATGATATACTTCATGTGATGTTTTCTATTATGACCTGCAAAGGGGCTTCGGGTGCAAATTAGCCTTAAGCTAACTCTGGTAAAAAACTTTTCATTTTTTATATTAAACTTGGTCCTTTTATAAATTAAATACATTAAAATTGATTCATTATATAAAGTAAAAATTCATAAAACCCTATATAACTTCTAAATGTTTAATAGAAACTTTCCTTCCAAAAAAACCCCAAACGGTCATCAGTTGTACTTTTCCTGATTTAAATTTGTGTGCATGACTTTCATCTCTCAAGTAAAGACGTGTGATGCTGTTAAAGTGCTGGATGAAGCCTTAAAGGAAGAGTGTGAGTATTTTTGATCCAGTAGATGTCGCCCTTGAGCACCAGCATGAAACCAAAACAAACTGTTTGGAGACACCTCCGCTATTCTGAAGCCTCCGCTCTCCTCCAGCGACACACCTCCAACCCCTCTCCATGAAGGAGTTATGAATAAGAACGCACAATAATGAAACACCATTAAGTGCAAGCGGTGGACAAAAGTGTCCTTTGCTCAAGCTGTAATCACCTGTGTCCCGCTTTGTTGTGTTAGCATGCTAATGTTAGCGCTCTTTGGTTAGCTCATAGCTTCATGTTGCACATAAATTGACACAGAATGACCGAGATCTAAACACACTTTTGTGACATCTAAATCATCAATGAGTATGTTCTTCTTCTTTTCTCTAGTCTGTAACTAAAACAGCTTCATACACAAGGTCGTCCCGTCCATGTCAACATGACATAAGCACGGCTCTGACAACAATACAGCTGGTGGGACTCACACTTCTCACTCTTTGTAGACAGTCATTATTCAGAGAGACATTTACACTACATATACTTGATTTCTGATATATTTATGTGTAAAATGTTGCACATTCTTCCTTTAAGGACTGCAGAGTTTGATGTTTTCTTTTCACCATAATGGCTTCTTTGCAGCACCTTACATTTGCACTTTGGTGCAGTCTGCAGGAAGTATCAAAAATCACCCTAATCGGGTTGTTTTGTACTTGTGCTGTAGGAGTAACTTTGTAATTAGTGTACGCGACTTCGTTTTACTGTAACTGTTGCACTAATATGTCGGTATGAAATGTGAAATTAACCGATTAACAGCGTGAACAGGGTGCGCCACATAACAGACCAGAGGGAATAAAAAAACAAGGAACAAGGAAACACAGTCTGGCTCATTTCCAGTCAAATGGGGAGACAGCCAGACAAAGGTTAGTCCCAGCATGAGGAAAGTCATTCTTATAGCATCAATGGGTATTTTCAGAAAATCTATGCAACCAACTCGTTACTACAAGCAGGTTAGGTGAGTTACCTCAGGCATGCATATTTGTGAACAGCCCTCTCCTCGTCATACCTTAGGGCAGAGTGAGAGCATGCCTCATTAAGGCACTTTAAATACAAGTTTCTCTTGTAAAAGAAGACAAGAGTCACCCTACTAAAAAAAACAACATTTTTTTAAACTACTAAAGCAGCTGCTGGGGACAACATGATTCTATTTATCTTACTTTCTAAAGACCTGGCGGACAGGTTTAAAAAGCCCCGGGAGAAAAAGTGAAAAAATAGGACTGCAGGTGGAGGAGGATTTACATACTGTCAATGTTACTGTGCTGTAATTTTCACAAGCGTACATTAAGAGCAGCTTCTTGTATTGGATAATGATAGAGACACACTTACTTGACAATGCTGGGTGGAATGTGAACATACTCCATCGGTATGATTTCTCCGAGCTCCTGCAGACTATTCACATACTTGATTTTGCTGCTGAACTTTGAGCTGCAGAAAACAGAAGAAGTCATACAGCTCAGAGTGCACCTAAGTTTATTCAGGTGTTTTGAAGTTATTGGTAGAATAATCAAACGGTCTTTCTGGAAATTGCAGGGGTAGTAAAGGGTGTTGTAATTGCACACTGAGTTTATGTTTGTATGAAATGTGCTATAAAGTAGAATTGAACTGAGCTACCGTCCATCCAATTTAAGGCCCAGTCCTTTTTACTAGCCTGGTGCGCCTGCAGGCCCTTCAAGGCCATCCACAACCTCGCCCCGCTTCACCTCTCTGAACTCCTGCACATCAACACACCTACCCGCACTCTCAGGTTCTTCTTCCATTCAACTCACTGCACCACCCGCCCGCCTGCCTGTCCACCATGGGGGGGTCCAGGGCCTTCAGCCGCTCTGCCCCCCCACCTCTGGAACTCCCTCCCACCACAAATCTGTAATATCGACTCTCTCTCCATTTTCAAATCTCATCTCAAAACACATCTTTTTAAACGGATCATTCTCCACCCGTTCTCATAACTCCTTTACATCCTGTACATTTCTGTTTTTTATGTTAATCTTATCGTTGTGTTGTTTTTATCTCTGTTCTGTAAGGTGACCGAGAGTTTTGAAAGGCGTATTTAAATAAAATGTATTATTATTATTATTATTATTATTATAATAACAATAATAATAATAATAATAATAAAGGCAGCTCTCAATTAGCCCCTCTGAATTTTCATGTTTAAATAGTGTGTGGATCAAAAATGAGGAAAATAAAGATGAACTACAAAATCTGAGACAGAATAATGCTAGTAAGCCTACAGGATGTGAAGCAGATTTGCATAAAGTGATTTGTTATTTAATTTGTTAATAGATATCATAATATTGTGTATAAATATTCATTCTGGTGTAAATGTAAAATTTAATAGTCTTTTCCTATTCTTTCCACCTAACCCCTAAAATCTAAATCTAAGTCAAAGCTGGTCTCATATTGACGCCTGTCCCAAATAAAGGAAGGGTCATTTTATAGAGTGAAGTAAATAAAAGCTTAGAAGTTTTACTTTCATAGACCACCATTTTTCTCCCTGCAGTTTGAGAAAGTTAAACCGTGTCCTGAAAACTCTGCTGGCTTTGTGAGGCTTTCTTTCCAGTGAGTGCTGGATGCATGGATACACATATTGATGTTGTAAAGAGTACATTGTTTAAGTCTTCTAATATTGAGCAGTGTGATGTGTGACCTCTAAATGTAAAGAATAAATACGACACCTTATGAAGGGTCTGGTGATCCCCAGCAGAGTCCGTATGAACCAGGACGGGTGGACGATGATGAACATTTTCAGGTTTTTCTTCAGTCTGTGGCACGAGAGATAAGTGAACAAAGGAGTGATGAAACAATCTCTGACATGCATGACAACTTAAAAAGACTTCTGTCTAGACGGACTCATGTCCCACAATAAGAATCTTGTTAGAATCCGTCTGGTTGAACGCAGCACAAAGAAGCGGCTGCAGGTGAACCCGCCATCAGAGGATGTTTGGATTACAGATAAGAAGTTAAATGCATGAAAAGACTGAAGGTCCTCCTTAAGGTTGAAATTACACCATTATATAAAAGTCTGGAAGAAATGGACAATAAACCAGACAGCATATAATTAATTTTTATATTTAAAAAAATCAGATTCCCCCCACTTCCCATATTAAGTGATATGTAATCAAACCAAAAGCCCCAAACGTTACACAACCAAAGAAAAGAAGAATACTCCTGAGAGCAGGAAGTAAGTGTGCAGACTCTTTCAATTGTTAGAGGTGTTTTGTTGTGATGGAGGAACATCAACATCTGTGTGATTCACATATTACATGTATACAATTTAAAGTATTACAGATGCATTGCACTCTGATTACCTTCTGTCTATCATTTGGTAACACTTCTTCATCCACGAAAAACCAGGCATCCTCCTGTGAGGTGTGGCGCCATTCAGGTAAACTATGATGTAATCTTCTGCGACCATGAGCTCCAAGGTACTGATCACATACCTACACACACACACACACAGATAGAAAAGAAAAAACACAGGAAAGACATGTTGTCACACTGTACAAGGCCTGTAACAAAGGTGACACAATTTTCACCAAAATCTTAAAAAAGTGTATCTGGAGAAAATGAACAACCCTGCCTTTGATGCTGCAACCCTAAATCAATAATACACTTGATTTTCTATCTCTGGGCTGGGGTTGTTTTTCATGGTGAGGTTTGTGCCGACCTCCCACCAGCAGGGCCTTCTGTCCATGTTTTGTGTCCCTGCAGGTCGCTTGTGGGCGGTGTTCCACCACACACAGGTCTCTCAGGTGTAGGCAGTCTCTCCTCATCACCACACAGCTCCTCGCTGCAGCATGCTTTTGTTGTTGTTTGCTTGTTACTTTCATTTTACACCATACCACATGCTGCACACACCACACACTCACAAGCAGCCGACACACTGATTTACTGACAAACTCACCTCACGCTCTTTGTAAATTGTTGAGTTCTTTTGTTGAAGTTCAACTTTTACACCATTTGCTTTATGTGTATCCTGCATGGTTTATGTAATTTCTCCTGTGGCTGCTTAATTACTGTCATGATATTTCTATTTTTGTAGATTTTAGCAATAGATTTTGAATTTGGGGTGCCTTTTATAAAATCTGGCCAGGGACAACATTTGAAAATTAGCCTTTTGGCTAATTCTGGCATATTTACCAAAATGTTTTTTAATATGCAATTTTATAATATGCATATGATATACTATGCAAAATGTTTCCCTGGTTTTTGTCAGGCCTCAAGAGCCGGGTCATGATGACTTAAAAGTAGAAACATCATGATTTTCTCCACACTTTAGAAGTCTTCCAACTTTCTGACAAAAGTTTAGATCAAACAGAAATGCATTTTTTTGTTTGGTGTGAAAGAAAAAAAACATAAACAAGAGTCATTTCAAGTTCAGCTGTGACTTCTCCAGTTCTTTGAGAGCTCAGTAATAAGAGCAGTTCAAAGTCTCACCAGAACAGTTCATCATCGTTCTATTATCAAAGATTGAATACGATTTTTACACATCTTGTTTCCATAATCACAAACATTTGACTACAAAGAGGAGCTTTACTTACAGGAAAAGGTTTTCCATGACGTAATTGTAATTGTCACAGTTGCTGTCTGGTAAGAAGCACGCTGCAAACACGATGATGGCATTTTGTTGGTCGTAATAACCTGAAAGCACAGACACAAAAAAAAGACAATCACAGCGACTGATTGATTGATTGATTGATTGATTGATTGATTGATTGATTGATGAATAGAACATTATTTTCAAAGTCTGAAAGTTGTCTTGCATCACAGCGGCTCCATATGCAACATAGAATATGTTGCAAACATTTGACACGACATTCAGAGGCTTTTAACCCGTTTCGATCTTATTCAGCTTCATGTGTGCACAGAATACATCCTCCAACATGAAACTATCTCAAGTCTTCAGATTCTGACAACCTTAAACCTGACCTCACACTGAACCTTTCATTGCCGTAGTTAGACGTTTTTAACACTTAATATGATTGACTTTATATTTGACTCGACAGAACGGGGGAAATGTTCACGTTTGCACACCTCCATGAGAAATGACTCTTTTGTACGGCTCGATGCACTTCATGTCAATGCGATGCTCCTGCTCTCCGATCACCACGCTCCTCCACAGTCGGCTCTCCTCAGCCGCTCGCTGTCCTGCCACAGCTTCACTCGACGCCGCTCCTGCGCCCACATCAGGCTCTTGTGAGTCTCCTGTTTCACAACAAGACAAACCAACAACCACAACGTATTTATAATCTACTATTCATCGATAACACACTGAGCACTGAGGTGAGTGTTATTCCTTGTTGTACACTCTGACCGTGTTGGTTGAACTCCTCGGCCTCATCAGACGTGTCCAGCTCGTCTATGTTGACATCCAGGTCGTCTCCCGTGTCCAAAGCCTCGTCCTCTGTGTCCAGAGCGTCCTCTGACAGAAGAGACCCCTCACTGCGGTCCAAGGACACATCCATAGGTGGCGCTGCCAGCTTTCTCCTCTGATTGGACCCGCCCGACAGATCGGCAGACGAGGACGGATCTGAACAAAAGAGAGAGAGAGAGAGAGAGAGAGAGAGAGAGGTTTCATTTGATGTCTTTGATTGTTGAAAGATCAAGATGTGATTTCACTTCATGGTCTGTGTTCATCATATCCTTAGATGTTTCCCCACATTTTCATTTCAACGTATTATCCTGTAATATATCACTATAGTATAGCCTAGTCTATACTCTATCCACTGTTTACTGTTCACACACCAGATTATGAACGGTTTGTTTTATGATTTTAAAATGTTTCTATTTGAATGTTTCTTTTTCTCTTTGTCGGGATGCTTTTGATGCATTTTAAATTGGCTTGTTGCTGAAATGTGCTCGATAAATAAACTTGCCTTGCTCTAAAATATCAACTCACTTAAACTACTCTACACACTAAACTACTGCAGTTCTCTAAATGTTGCCGTTAATCGAGCCTCCATACACGGGTAAGAACTTATTCAAAATAGCTCAGCCAGGCTCCTTTGACAGATGTTAAAAAAAGGATCACATGTACTAGCGTCCAGTTCAGTGTAGAATCACTTATAAACTTCTTCTGTTTGTGTTTAAAGCCTTTCATGGCCTCGCTCAACGAAACGACAAAATTATGCCTTTTGCATGCAAAGAAAAGGCAATACAGTACAGAGATGTGAGATTCACTGAGACTGAAGACAAAGTATGAGTGAAACAGATTCCTTCAGGGGCCGCTAACCCGCTTCATCAGTGTTGTTTGGCCCTTTAAAGTTTTTCTTCTCTCAACAAGGGGAGGTGATTGGAGCTTCTCGTCGTGGTGTGGATTAAATGCTGCATCATGTTGGTTGTTCTATTTGTGTAGTTTCCGGTCTTCTTGTAATATTTGCATTCAGTCTTTGTCTCGTCTGTTATCTTCTCACCTCTGCATTTTCTGTCTTGGGGGAAGACAAAATGCTTCCTCACCTCCAATTTAAAAGACGGTGGAGCGTCCTCAATTTCTAAATCTTGCTCTGCAGCTGCCTCTACTCTACATTCATTTTTCACAGTACCGAAGTTCAGAATCTTGATACCTTTGAATCCATTTATCACGATTTATGATGTATCTTTACTCCCCTAATACCGTATTATTTATTCTGTATCTGTATCCTGAATCTTTGCTTAAGTCTTAATTTCTTCCAGAAAGTTTCCTAAACCTACAAATACATTAACTTAATTAATTTTCCAGTTGTGAACCTGTCCTATCGTTCTCTACAAGGGGTTACAAAGATCACCAGCACACACAGATTTTAAGTACTATAAGTGGTGTGTATGTACCTTCTCTGTTATCCATCTCCTCAGCAGCTTCCTCACCGGAGGCCGTCTTCATCACCATCATCCCTCCTGCATCGTCTTCCTGTTGGGAGTGTCTGCTGCTGAGAGGCACAGAGAGACAATAATGAGCCACAACATAAACTATCATCGCCACCGCCACAGCAAGCACGGGCACAACTACACAAAGTACTGGTGCAAACAAGCCAAAGACAATCATCTACAAAGAGGCAGAATCGAACTTCTCCCATGACACTGGACGAGTTTTAGGTCGTGTTCATGAGACTGGAGACGTTAAAGATCACAGAAGTGACAAAGAGGAACGGAGAGAAAGCGACTCACTGCTTCATTCCCTTCCTGCACGTGTGGGCCGAGGAGACAATACAGAGCAGTGTTGCTACCTCCCCCCCAAACCAAAGCCCCTCTAACTGAGTCTGATTAACATACTGCCTTAACAATAGAGAGAGAGAAAGCAGAGCGTATGATGGAAGACACATAAACTCACATCATGTCTGTATCATGACACCGACCTTTTCCTCGGTCTTCCCCCGGTACGAGTGACGGGAAACACTCTTTTCCACAATCGAGTCACGTGAACACTTGATTATTGAAAGGTCTGCTGTGAGTATACGCAAACACACAAAGAGGAGGGGGCTGTCTGTGTGTCCCAAAGAAGGGGAACGGAGGGTCATCAGAATAACAAAGTGGGGCAAACGGGGAACAATTAAACTGCGCACATACCCACCCGCCCACGCATACATGCAAAACGTTCATGTGATCCTGCACACATTCAATCATAAAAGAAGAACTTTATTTTCTACTTTGGACTTTTCATTTGAATAAAATAATCCAGTTTGACTTCAAGTTAAAAAAATAAAATAAAAAAAAACCATTAGGGAAGCTTAATGATTCTGTTCCTAGTTTGTGTCCTTCAAATCCCATAATGCAACTCAATTACATCTTTTATTAGTTAAGCATTCCCTGACAACTTCCAGTGTCTTTTAATTCTTTTCTTCACCTACATATCGGGGTACATTAGGACCGCAGATTTTGACCCCATCTTCATATTAGAAAAAGATCATGAAGTGGCCGTTATAGACATGACACTAGGGCCTGACCAATGTGGGGGCGAGGGAGAGAGAAGAAATTAGATACCCAAATATCGGCCAATATCTTTCTTATAACTATCTACAATCTTTAGAGATAGATAGATATATACACATTTATTGTATTGATCCCTCAGATGCAGTTGGTGCATGTAGGTGCGTCACTGCTTGACACTCTGGACAGTGATATTGCTTGTTGTAATCCATATAGCGCTCTCTGCTGGTGAGAGAGAAATGCTTTTTGGCTGGTGAATGAATCAGGTTATTTCAGCGCATATCAGAGATAAAAAAACACGGTCGATATTATCGGCTGGCTGATGAATCGGTCTGGCTCTACATGAGACGCTGATTTAACCAAGAAAACAAGTTATATGTAAATTAGTACATGTGAGTATTGCTTTAAGAGAGACTTGAAAACATATAAAAGAGGGATGTATGTAAGAAAAAAAGTATTTCCCAACATGTTGGTGTGTGCAAACGCAGCAGCTTGGCTCTCTCTTGTTTGCAGAGATGCCACTGAAAGGTTTGTTGTACTCTATATGACATGATGACTATAAAGTTTATTCTTTTCTCTATTATAATCTGAAATATTTATATTTAATACATTCTTAAATATGTCCTTTAATAATAGGACAATTAATTTCCTACTTTCTAAACCTTACATGCATAAACCACAGTGTGCACTGACTTATTAAAAAAAAGCCTGCTTATTATTAGTCTTTAACTTATATGTGTATTTTGTTGTTGTTTCTTTATATTATTTTTTCTATTTAAGATCCTTGACAGTAAGAAGCACCACTGTTTAAATGTTTATTCTACTTCTGCAGTCATTGTTCTTGCAGCAAAACACAAAGACAGCTTCCTGTTATGTGTAAATTTGGTAAAAATTCTGATTCTGATTCAAACTCTAAATCTTCTGATAGTTTGTAATGGCTCTGTGCTGCCCCTCTGTGGTGAAAACAAAAACAGCAATGCAGCACAACTGCTCACATAATTGAAATTCCCCTCATGGGATTAATAAAGTATATCTTCTTCTCCTTTTAACCATTTGAAACAAATTGGAATCTCTGATTGAGTATTAATTTGTTTTATTTGATACTTTATTGATCCAGAGGGAAATTACAACTTTTCTACATAGCCATATCTTTTTGAGTGCAACGCAGGGTATCAATCATTTCACTGTGCTTCATACAGAAGCTCTAAGTGGCCAGCATCCATACATTTTAATCTCCTCTATTAGTCCGTGATAAATAATTTCCAATTGTTTTCACAGGATATTGATTTATTGATGATCTTATATCTTCAAATCCAGACTCAAAACCCATCTGTTCAAGATCGCCTACTCACTCGAACATTTTAACTGTAAACACACTGTCCTACATTTCATTATGCTGATTTTATCCATCATTGTTTTTAAAATGTTGATTGTTGTCTTGAAAGGCGCTTATAAATAACATTTATTATTATTATAACAACGGTCATTTCTTGTAAAAATTACTTAATTTCTCAACATCTCAAGACAACAACTGAAATCAACTTGTTTTCACAGGAAGACCATTATTGTTATCTCTTATAAGAACAAATTAGAGCTTCCTAAGATCTAGAGAAGTATAGAGCTGCCATGGGAGGGTTAATACTGTTTTAATCAGATTTCACTCAAACTAACGGTTTACTAAGTCCTGAACCTGAAGAAGTTAGTGAGAGGTAACAATGAGTCTGGATGAGTGAACGCTCACCTTGTAACGAGAAAGTGAATGTATCCCTCTGGCACATAACGGGCATGATCCTCCCTCTTGGGTCGGACATCTAATTGGTCGAGCGGCTGTCCGTCAAATTGGTAACTAGTGTGATCTGACTCGTACTGACCCTGGCCGTCAGCTTGATACTGGGAGCACTGGACTTCAGAGGTGAACATGGATCCAGAGCCATCTCCATACTGGCTTTCAGATGTGTATTTGAACTTGTTTCCTGGATCGTCAGACCTGTACTCTTCATTGACTCCATGTTCATAATAACCCTCGGCCTGCTCAGATCTGCAGCGTGCAGACGTTGCGTCGGTTGTAAACTCAGCGTAGACGTCTGTGGTGTTTTGTTGGATGTTGGATTTAGGCCCTACGCAGGCGGAGAGGGCACCCTGGTGTTCAGTTCTTTGGTCGATGTGGTGGTAGTTGTAGCCGTGTTGGGTTTGACCCTGAGTTACAGTCTGACCTCCCGCCCACTGGTATGCAGCATCCTCGTTGGTTGGCTCAGAGGAAGGTTGTGATGTCACCACTTGGTGTCTTCTTTTAGGAGAAATGGGGAGAGGTGAAACGTGCAGAGAAAAGGAGACATTCAGAAAGGCTTGTAAAAAACTAATAAATTAGATAAACACTGTCTATTCTCGTATAAGTAGAATTTTATGACAATGCTTACATTAAAATATCTAAAATAGCAGAGAGAACTCCCTGCAAGCCTTGACGTCATCTTTTGTTGCGCCACAGGAATGAGTCCTAAAACCCGGAAGTAAGTTAGCATTTGAGCGCCATGTGGTCTAACGTCTAAAAGTCAACGGGGATTTTGAATGGGTTTGTGGTTAGACGCCTGAAGTAAGTTCTGTGGTTAACACAAGCTGAAGAGATGGTGGCGTTTTGTTAGACCACATAAACTACGTTAGGTAATACCCCCACTTGTGAATTTTGAAGTTTTTACACGTCTTTAAAAAGGCGGTTGCTAACAAGTGGCTAAATGTGACTACAGTGGTTGTTGGGGACATTAAAGGTCATCACGCCGGACACAGAGGGCGGGAACTCTCTCACTAGTCTGAGATGTCTCCTGTAGGTTAAATCTTTAGGTTAAGGTGAATGTTATGTTAGTAAACTATTTATTAAGCTACGTGGATTAGTTTATCGGAGATCATCTGAAGCGTAACGCTAGTGACGTCACAATCATCCGACCGTGGTGTAGTTAGCTTGTAGCATAACGTTAGCTTTTTACTTCTGTCGGCTGCATTAACGCTTCAAACATCATAAAAATGGCGTTCATCTGTGAAGATTATCCTGCTGAACAAAATGCCTACGCTTCAGGAACGTGCGTTATCCACAGAGATTATTTTCTGCAATGATCCAAAATCCAATGAAAAAAATCCCATAGGAGAATTCTCGTTAGACCCCATGGCGATGCTACTTCCGTGTTGGTCTACAAAAATACATCATATGGTTTGTTCTTATTGTAGTGTTGATTAAGAGCCCCCTGGTGGTGGAATCTACATATTGAATGACTATAATAGCTGGTTAAACTTATTAGAAATATTTGTATTAATTCAGAAGTTGTGTCTAAGCTGTAATGCAGCTGCCCGCTAGCTGCTGCTGAAAGTGCTCACTCGACTGCCCGGATGTAATCAGCAGAATAAAAGGACAGCATCTTGTATACCGGTATATAGGCTGTGTCGGATTGTGGAGGATGTGGATGTTAACCTGCAAGGAGGACCACAGGTTGGTGGTATAAGCAGTGCTACTGTGAGCCACACTCAGTAATCTAATTTGACATTGTTCAGACACAGGAAGCTGTTATCCCATGTTTAGACGTGTTTAATAACTTGTGCTCAATTTTTTTTTTTTTTTGTATATTTCTTTACTTTACACTGGTTGAAAAGTCTGAATTTTAATTCAAAAGACTGAAATTAGTCGTCTAGTTACATACACGTATCTTGTTTTCATTGGGTGATATTTGTTGCTTCTCCTTATTTGATAAATACCTAAAATTAAATATCTGAGCTAGATACCCCCTGCTGAGTATTTGACCACTAGACGCGTTATGTTATTCCGTGTTATGTTCACTGTTTCACTTGTTCTCTGAACCTTGTGATCCAGTAGTTATTAGGTCTACTTCTTCATAATTTCATATTTGTTCATGTGGCATACATTTTGAATCTGTGAGTTGGTGAATGTTCAGGGAAATGCAGCACTGCCCTTTGCAAAAAAAAGAGAATAAGAGGGTTGCTAGCAAGGAAAACATGGATGTTAAAAAACGCTGGTTTGTAAAGGTAAAACTTGATGAAAGAATGCATTACATATATTTTAAGACCTCATGGACAAGAAGCTACAAATATGTCTCGGTGAGCAAAACTGTTAGTCCACAATAAGGAAGCTCCTGCCTTTCAAGATAACTTAAAAAAAAAATCCTTGTAATACTAGACTTCAACAATAAAGGGTGTGTAGACTCACACACAGGCCTGCGTACACTCACACCCACACCTTGTAAGAGCGCTAGGGGAGCTGTTCCCATTAGCTGTAGAGGAGCTCCAGCTGTAATGAGGCAGGTAATGCATATTTAATGAGGCGTAAACAGATTTATAAACACAAACACAACACACACACACACACACACACACACACACACACACACACACACACACACACACACACACACACACACAAAAGAGCTACAGATCAAAGCAGGCTGCGAAACACATGAAATACACTTGCGTCAGCATGCACATACCTTATAAACACATACAAATATGGACACTCGTAATCTGTTTCTGTCATAATATCCTCTCAGACCCAGTCTGTCAATCACACAGACACACACACACACACACACACACACACACACACACACACACACTGATCATCAGGCTTGAGTCCTCGGGAGAGCCTTTCTAGCTTTATTTTGACAGTCTGTTCGTCGATGTTAATATCTCTCTGAGGTACAGATTCCATTGAGAAAGCAATAGATATCTAAACCCAGCAGAGAATTAAGGGTTGAGGATCAGGTGTGGTTAGCATGTGTGTGTGTGTGTGTGTGTGTGTGTGTGTGTGTGTGTGTGTGTGTGTGTGTGTGTGTGTGTGTGTGCTTATGTGTGCTGGACAGGTACATGTGTGCACAAACATGTTTAATAACTGGCTTGTGGCAGCCTGAGAATATTCTCAAATCTGTCATGAGAAATGGCAAGAATACTAAAAATCTACTTTCATTTGTCGGCACATCAACAAAATTTGAGTTCACCAACCTGTTACCATTGGTAGCCTACTGTATACGTCCTATTTCTTCCATATTGTCTTTCTTAAGACATGAGAAACAATTTGCATGTCCAAAGTTTTCATATTTGTTTAAATTTTTTCTTAAAGTTTGTTCAGACTTTTGTAAAGGGTAAGTGGCCACATCAGTATAACACTCTTCATGGTCTTTTCCACTCTCTCTCTTACCCACTCATTCACAAACATGCAACTGGCCTGACCAACAGGAGTATGGGTGGGACAAAATATATAGAAATATAATATCATCATATTCATCATCATGATACAATTATCATGATAGAATCACTGGTTACAAATATGTAATAACTACATAAAAATGGCTCTTAACAGATTTACCTTCATATTTGACTGAACCTGTCACTACTTTATGATGCCTCACAGCAGGGCTTATGACATGAATGAGGGTTAACATGAAACAACGTTAATCAGCCCAAGAAGAATTTGGCAACAGGATAGAAGAAGAAGAAGGAGAAAACAGTGGGATAATTTCGGAGAGCAGTGAAAAGAAGTTAAAGAATGAAGCAAATTCCAGGGAATAAATACATTAATACTGAATCTCCTTACACTGGCTCCCAGTTACTGCTCGCATCAAATTTAAAACTCTGCTGCTCACTTACAAAACAGCGACAAAAGCGGCTCCTCCTTACTTTAATTCTCATCCAGGTCTACACTCCCTCCCGCCCACTACGCTCTGCCAATGAAAGGCGTCTGATCCAACCTTCACAACAGGGTCCAAGTCTCTGACTAGACTCTTCTCCTCTGTCGCCCCCCCGGTGGTGGAACGAACTTCCAAACTCCATTCGATCTGCAGAGTCCCTCTGCACCTTTAAGAAAAAGCTAAAGACCCAGCTCTTTCATGAATATCTACTAACTTAATGATGATGGTCTCCATATTATTGATGATGATGATGGTAATGATGATGGTTTTTGTTTGATAACGACGACTTATAAGATGGTTTCTATACTGATTAGAGCTCTCAAGAACTGCCCTCAATGTTGTGCTTTGCCTCTGGTCACTTCCTGTCAGCACCTGTGTGTCCAATCAGACTCAAAGCTGATCGTTTGCTCTTACTGACATTGTTTCCTCTTTTCTTGATCCTTTCTTGTGTTGTACTTACTCTCTGATGTACGTCACTTTGGATAAAAGCGTCTGCTAAGTGAATTGTAGAATCGTTGTGTAGAATTGAACTTTCCCTTATTAGGGGCATTTTATATTCTTCAGTTAATTCAGATATTGTGATGCATCATGATATATCAACCATCGCAGAAACACTGTATTATAATATTGTAATCGTTGGCCTCGTAATGCATATTGTATTGCATATCATATCGCATAAAAAGTTACCCTGTGGTTCCCAACCCCCAGGAAAATAAAATACACCGTATAGGAAACGTGAATTGTACTTCCAACTATGAATGGTGTATTCTGCCTCCTTAGCCACTGCCCAATCAATGTGACAGAAAAAGGCACAAAGCTTAAGACATACTTTTATAATACATGATAGGTTGCTTACCTTAAATCAGGTGAACAGCTGTCATGAGAAGCTTTAAGGTCTCCAATATGTCTTTCATAGACAGTTCTCAGTAGCTGTTTGTTGTGGTAATCCATTGTACTCTTTGGTTCAAATGTTTGTAAATCGTTTTTTTGACATGAAGACCCTCCAATCAGCTCCTCGGTGAAACTCAGCAGATCAGAGGATTCTCCCGGCTGGTGTCCTTCAGTTTCCTCTTCCTGCTCTTCCTCGTCGTTCTCATCCTCCATTAAATCTCCAGAAAACGGTAAACCAAGCCCTCTGTCGTTTGAAATACCCGATTCACTCAATGGGGTGCTGACAAAAGAGCTGGTGTGGGAGATTGAGCTGTTGGTCAACGCAGGGGAGTGTGGTTCAGATGCGGTTTGACCCCTCCAGTCTTGAAAGTCGCCCAAAGACGTAGGACATGGAGGTGCGGAGGGTGACTGCCCACCCTCGTCTGAATCTTCCATTGAAATCTGTGAATGGACGTAAACTTCCTCCCTGGTTTTCAGGAAGTGGTCTGATGGATATCTTAATGACGGAGACACACTTCTTGCCACAACGCCTGATTTGTCATCGTAGTTTCCTTGTTCTGCTTGTGTTTGACTATAACCTGTTGGTCTTGAATCCGATTGATGAACAGCCTCAGTGTCACTTTTTGAACGGCTTGGACCGACCATTTCTTGATGCTCAGTATTATTTTTAAGACTTTCTTGGTAATGAGAGGATGACACAGATTGGCGTCTTGCTGTATCTGTACTAAGTTCACATTCAATGCTTTGTTTTTGGCTGCTGTGTTCTGTGTTCTCCTGATGCTCTCTCCGTGAAGCTTGGGCCTGGGCTTTCAGTACTGTGGCAGCATAGGAAAGCATGCTAAATGTTTCCATTGTCTTTTTTGGTCCTTTTGAATGCCTATCATCCCACTCTCTTTCGGCTTCTTTAACCGTGCCAGACACAATGATGTAGTCCATTTCAAGGCACGACGATGAATCGCCGTCAGAATTGGACCTGAGTTCGTCACTGCTACCTGGGTGAAGGTTATCAGGGCTACATTTCAGTGTGTCTTTCTCCCCTCCAGAGCTGGAGCTCAGAGACATGGATTCTGCTGTTTTACCCTCCCCCACACATGTAATGTCATTGCTTGGACTGACATGGCTTTCGGAGAGAGGCCTGATCGGCAGGTCATATAGTGAGACTGATTCAGAGCCGTCAGCTTTCTTGGAAACAAGATTGCCCCAATCGACATGGCTCGAGGAAGGTGACTGGTCAGCCTGGGTTCGAGTCTCATCAGCTTCCCCTCGACTTAAATCGGGATTGACTGAAGTGGCAGGATTCACAGTTGAGCAGTTCACCAAAAGAAACGGGGATTGATCACCTGAGTGCTCTTTCCAGGCAGAAAACCCTGATCCTTCCCCACTTTTGTTGTCGTACTTACTTGCACCACAGCTTCCCCCATCCTTAATAAAGTGGTCCAAGCCACTAGTTCCCTCAAACAGGAACACCTGGTTGGGCGTCTCGTCTTTGGCTGTAATTTCTTCTCCCGCTTCAGTGATCTGATTGAACTGAGGCACAGCGACAAAAGGGCTGGACTGCCCCTCTAGCTGTATCATGTCTACATCGGGACTAGCACAGGTCTCAGGGGAGGACGAAAGGCTCCAAGTGCAATCTCCGACATTGTCATATTCTGATGTGGAAGTGGGCATGTCAGGAACAGGTAAGTCCCAAATGTCAGCATGGTATGTGGACGTCCCATCTTCTGAATGTTCAGATGCCGAGTTCTGCAAATCCTGCTTTCGGCTCTGAACACCCTCAAAGTCATTGTCATCTGTTTCTTCCTCTTCGGCCGCCTCTATGACAATTTTCACGTTGTGTTTAGTCCCTATACGGCAAACATCTTCAAGAGTCTTCACCACTTTATTGATACATCTCTCCTCGTCTTCCACTTTTCTTCTCCTGCCTTTACGCTTAGATGTGACTCAGGAGAATCCAACGATCCTGTGCGGCTAGGGTCCTTTTCATTTTCAGGTCCTTCAGGGCTTGTTATTGTGGAGGAGCTGTCTTCCAGTATGGTGGTGTTCCACATCGCCATTCCACCTTCAGAGAATCCAACTGGACTTTCCACGGATGTGCTAGGTCCGAGATTGGGGTTCATCCCGCAGAAAGAACCAGAGTTTTCCGAGAAGTTGTCCGGGGTTGTGAGAGGTGAAAGACTGTCATCTCGGATTGTCATATTCCACATATCTAGAGATTCGGGGTAGGATGCGGTGGTACCGCTATCTGATTTGAGAAATCCCTTCTGGGCTGAGTACGTCCAAAAGTCTAGGAGTTCCATTTGTTTGTTTCCTTTTTTCCCTTGTACCCCTTCATCCTCTTCTTTAGACGTGTCTGGTGTTAAAGTGTTTAAGATAGCTTTTTTTCTTGGCAACAGGGATGTTTGTTCCTTCTCAGCAATGAAACCAGCTCTGCATTTTCCAGTCACTTCCTCCTCCGGTGGAGTCAACTGCAGATAAGACAAAGTGACAGGATTCCACTGATCCTTAAGTACAGACTCTGGATTCCAGTTGTCGCACGATTCAGTCTGCTCAGTGATCAGACTCAGCTGGGGTTCGAGGGTCTTTCCTCTTTGGTTGGCGTTCTCAGAATGTAAGCTCTCCTCTCCACTGTCTAGTTCAGTCCCATCCTCCAGGATATTCTCTGGGCTTTCACGTTCTTTGTTCCTAATCCAGGCGTTGCTATCGCTCGATGACAATGCTCCATGTGAGTCAAAGCCGAGTTCATCCCAGGTCTCCGACAATGACGATGACACACTATCCTTCTGCTGCAGGCCGTTTATCCTTTCAACTACATCTTCTGGGAAAAACCTGACCCCACAACTGCTGGGCGGGCGGCTACCTACAACACTGTTGACTGGAGTAGGAGGGACCACAGTGTCCATCATGTCATTCCCGTATACTTGACCTTGGTGGTCAATTGAAGAATTTCGGCCAAACGAATTAGGAGCGGAAAAATCCAGAAAGCTCAGCTCTTCGAGTTCTGACAAGCTGTCGCTCCCTGCTCTGCTTTCTTTTTCGTCTCCTTTGGCACAAGAGTTTGCCGATTCTCCTCCTGTAGGCACAGGGTGGTTGCCGTTATTCAGCGGGTCAAAACTGAACAGGTCAAAGTCACTCTTGTTTCTGCTAGAGCGGTGCTTCCTCCTCTCAGGTGGGACAGGAGGGGAGAGGGATGGCAAGCCCAGAGAGGGGTTTCTCATGAAGAGTCCCGCTGCTGGCAGTCCAGCTGCTGCGACCTCACCGACTGGACTGTCATCGCTAAGGAAAACCGAGCTCTCCTTGGAAGAGCGACTACTCCGGATGGTGGTCATACCACTGTCAGGGCTCACGAGCTCCCCACCTGCACCAACTCCTACACCTCCTGTGTCCTCTCCCTCTGTGATCACCCTACATTTAGAGATAAAACCACATTAAATAGTGTCAAGGTGTGAAACTGAAGCTAAAATAAAGGGATTCATGTAAATACCTTGCTATTGCCACTACATCTCCGCTGCCTTCTTCAGCTCTCTCTATGTCAGAACCATCCATGTCATTAATCCCAGATGATCCCTGGGAGAACTCCACGCTGCCTGCCACCCCCTCCGTGGAAGAGGTCCTGCTGCTGGGATGGCAGGCTAAGACAGAGCTCCGCCTGTCCACAAAGTCTTTGAGGAGGCCCTGTATTTCTTCCACCAGCAGAGGAGGAGTACCAGATGATAAGGTGGTGTTTATAGGAATGTGGTATAATTGGAAACTCTGCTTGGCCTCCAGTTCACCAGAAAGAGACCAGCTGGAGCACTCTTCCAACTCACAGCAGATCTGCAATGAAAGTTACTGTTGTAGTTTTTTTTATGCTTTTTAATTTGTAGATTTTAAAGCAAAAAATTAGACACTTTAGGAAACATGCTTATTGGTTTTCTTGTGGGTGAATACAGTTCTAATGTCTGTTCAGTATACATGTATGCTGAAATCATACAGTTATAGCAGATTTTTTTTGTAAAGCCTGGGAAAAAAAGACATAGCATTGTTTAAGACTGAACTGTGACAGGAGCCGGGCAACTTTGTAATGTTATGATTTGTAAATGTAAACCACTGCAACTGAATTCTTTGGTGTCTTATGAGCCCATGACACGAAAATAAATTAGATCAAATCAAAAATAATATATAAGGCGACAACAACAGGTTGAAAAAATGGAGCCAATGCTAAAGTGCAAAAATCTGCAGTTCCTCAAGTGTCCACATGAAGATTACATCCCATTAGGCCCCAGTAATCATGTTAACAGCCTGGTACAAACAAGCTTGGGGTCTCTTTAGTTTCATTCTTTATTGGTAAAAATTGCAATGTGTAGTATTCAATTATTAATATTTGCATTATTGGGCACAATAAGGTGTGGCTCATTTGACTGACAGGCAGCCATGTTTGCTTTTTGCTTCACTTTAGCTAAATCCTGTTACTGACCTGTCCACTTATTTATTTATTTAAAATAGGGACAGTGCACATTATTTTATTTTTGTGGGGGAGGGAGTGTTTACCACTTTATCTTTGCTTGGAGGAGATAAACTAGGTATAGCAGTGGACTGTGTGAGTAGCAACCTGACAGATGTGAAAGTCCATCCCATTTTCTCACATTAAAGGCTTAATATGCAATTTTTCACACTCAAATGTAATATAAATCAAGTATATCCTCTCAAAATAACTCTGTGAGTCATGACTGTCTACAATGGGTGTAACACCCGAGTCCCACTGTCTGTGATGTAGGTCCTATCTTCAGCTTGTTTACATCGCCAGGACGGCAGCTGACTCCTCCCCTCGAGTATAAAAGTTGTTTAATTGAGGGACTAGAGAAAAGAAGAATAACATACTGTACTCACTGCTTAACTGTGTTTCTAGATCACGCTCATTTCAGGTAAATTTACATGCAGTGTGAAGATACCAGCATAATAAAGATCACTAGCATTAGCATGCTAACACAACAATGCACCGCGAGTTGTTTTGGTTTCATGCTGGTGCTCAAGGGCGACATCTGCTGGATCAAAAATCCAGCAGATCGCATATAGAGCCTTTAAGAGAGTAAATGAGCACATTTCCCAACATTTTGAAGCAGACTTTCGTTTGTCTTTTATACATTTTCTGGTAATTTACCTGGTTTAGGATATCTGCGTTGCTCGAGTAGACTGCCATCTGTTGGCGGGGATGATGAAGAGTGTCATCGACTGACAGGAGAACCACCAAGCCATCGTAGTCATGACGATGACTGAAGGATTTCAGCACGTCCACATAATTGTGCCAGTCCTGGAAATATACAGAAAAAAAGTGTTAGGCAAACTGCTTGAAAGTTTCATCTCTTTGATTTGAAGTATTAAATAACAAGTAATGACAAACAGAAGTAAAGTACAACTGCACTAGTCTCAAAATGTTTACGAAAACATTTAGGTTACAGCTGTATGGAAAACTTTGTTAGACCCCTGCCTTTCATTGCGCATATGATTTAGTTTTTCTAAAAACTGAAGTGGCTTCAAGTAAGCCTTCATCGGCAGCGATGAGAGACGGAGCTGTCAAAGCGCACAGAGGGGTAGAGAGACACTTTGTGATTTATTGTTTGGAAATTAACTGTTTGCTCTTAAAACAGCCACCATGCACAGATTATGGTAATTCAGTGACACGCACAATGATTGATGGACGGAAAGTTGCATTAATTAATTGTTTTGTTTGTCAAGGGGAACTTGCTTTTTCTATCTTTCTGAAATGATTAACAGCAATGTTGTCGCAACTATAATTTGCAACGCAGGGTTACACATAAAGTGTGCAAAGTGACACTTTGTATATATATATTTGCTTGGTGAATATAGATTTGTTGTGCAACTGTTTGTTTTATAAAGTTCTTAAAAATCGTTGTTGTGCTTATTTAAGTAGAACTTTTAACCAACAGAGAGAGCGAGAGAGAGAGAAATCAAACTTTGACATTCAGGTTTGTCTCTCCATTGAAAACACATTTACGCATATGTGCTCATACTTGTCAAAATAGTCTTGTTCCCAGCTGGAAGTATGTTTGTATTCTTTCTGTGTGGCGAATCTGAGCGTGTATGTGGTCCTTGTATCGGCTTCAGCCCGTGTGTGTGTGTGTGCATTTGTCTGGGTCCACTGAAAGTGACTGATGAGCGCTGCAGGCTCTGTGTCTGCCCAGGCTGTGTCAATATTAACCTGTGAGGATGTGGGGGCTGCAAAACTTCCCCCCTTGATCCTCGCTCCATCCCATCCTTCTCTCTTTTATGCAATATGGCTGCTGTCAGGCTCAGGCCCATCAATCCTCTCTCTCTCACACACACACACACACACACACACACACACACACACACACGCGCGACTTGTCACTTCCCTGACACCGCCATTTCTCAACGCTGATATCCTGATGAGTGCGATGAAGCCTCCTCAGATTCTTTAAAACACACACATTCACTCACAGAAGTGCAAACACACAAGTAAAAGGCGGCACATCAAACTCTTAACACACGCAGACACACACATAAATCCGCCCGCAGTCGTCTACTGTAATCCCAGTGAACAAACATGTACCAGTGTGTACACATGTGAGCTCTGGCAAAGCGATAAAGTCTTCATGATTTACAGTACGCTGTACAAAGAAATACTGAAATGATGCTGATGCTCTAATGCTACTTCCCAACTGCGTGCATGTGCACACAAACCGCACACACACACATTCTCACACACACACACACACACACACACACACACACACACACACAGGCAGGAAAATGTAGTCAGAAAACGAGCAGAGTGCAAATCTGCGAGATGACACGCAGGGCGACAGTCTGTCTGCCATTTGGCTCTTAACTGAGTAAATTACTACTCATATTGCACCCCCCCCCCACCCCCCCCCCTTCCTCCCCCTTTCTGCCACCCCCAGATACACAGATTGCCTTTTTCTTATAAATTACCAACATATTAGCCATAAAACCCACTCGCTAACTGTCTCCCATAACCTCACGATCTGGACACAAAAAAAAACCTGTTTCACATTTGTTGAGCTTTTGGAAGGATGAGATTTCACAAACAAACGTTAAACTTAGCTCCAAACTTTATTTCTAATATCATGAATGTTACATTTAATTTAAAAAGCATGGGATTAAAACATGACAACATTGTACTGACGGAAAAAATAAAAAAAGCTAAAGACTGTTATCATAAGTATAATCATCATTTGTGATATTTTATGACATATATGAAAATGATGAGTTAGGCTACTCTTCATGAGCAGGTTATTGGTTTTTTAATTAAATATATCAGCTATTCGTTCATTTACTCCTAATTTTTACTCAAGAGGGTAAAATTTGCAATTTGCATTTTTTAAATAAATAGCAGAAGAAGCAGCAAGATAAATGATTTAAAAAATGTAATAATACAGATACTATACGGCCAAATATCACAAATATATATAGAAATGTATTATACATCTGTGGATGAAGTGACACTTTATATACTCATAACTTTTAGTGCTATATCAAGGATTTAAAACAGCTTTTAAATACACAAATGGCTGAAAAATAACCCTTTTTTTTCTTGTGACGATGAAAGAGTCGATACTCATAATGTGACGATTGAGACAGAGGCAGATGAAAAGTTGAGTTGAAGATCTTGTTCATTGTTAAAGCGATTAAAAAAAACAAGTTTTAGCAGCTAAAAACAAAAATACATTTTCATAACTACATTTTGTAACCTTGATGTTAGTTGACTTTTGAAAAGCAGATTTTTCTCCTTTAATCTAACTTTTAATTTTACATCAAATTTTTCTTGTTACTGTGTTATTTCCTTTAAGATGCCTTCACCTAATTCTTCACTTATAAGGTTTTTCACCCGTGTGTCACTGTGTAATAATTCACCTCTTCCTCTCTTGAGCCATTTTTACACACGACCCATACTCCAGAGAAATTCCAGAAAAGTGAGTGTGTTACTTGTGTGAATGCAAACTTGCAGATTTTCCACCGACCACCTTCCTACCATCCCCCTGGTAAAATTATTAAAAGAAGTTTGGGTGAGCCGATGTGTGAACACAAGCGAGGGTTGATGACGTTCATATATATATGCATCATAACAAACTTGTGTATTAACTTGGTGCACATAATGAATCTGCTGCATACTCTTTCCTGCTCTCCTGTACCTACTTTTCAGCTCTTCCTTAATACCGTTAATATGTCCATTTACATGTAGCACTGATATAAAGGAGGAAAGTGTCATCATAGCATCGAACTGTTGATTCTGCGCCATCTTGGATATTTAGAAAATACTTTACTGTGACTTCTGCGACATCAAATTCAGTGAAAATCTCCAGCTGTGAGGGTCATGATTCATGAAAGAGCAGCTCAGGAAGATGTCAGGGTGCAGGCTGTCTTTAAACTTTCAGGAGCTCTTTTTTAAAAGCGGCTTTAATCTCGCACGTTGCAGCTTTATTTTTCTTCCACACTCGGTCTCAATCCACACACACAAACACACACAAACACACACACACACACTCACACGCCCTCCCTCCCTCTTTGGTTGTCTTTGCTCCACAGGTAGCAAGTCTTTAGCGGCTGCTTGCAGTTCTCCCAACCTGCCATCATTATGCACAATAGCCTTAGGTACAAAAACTCAGGCCTCATAACTCACGCCCCGCGCGCGTAAATTCCCGTGCAAACACAGTCAAAGCAAAAACACATTTCCTGCTGTCGCCAACATCTCCGGCAAAGAATTAATCAAGCGTTCATCCATTTAGGCTCTTTGCATACCCTTTCCGTCAGAACACAGAACGCTAAGAGAGTTGCGAGTTCTTCTCAGGCGATCGTTTCGCCACCCTGATGAATCCATCAAGCGAGGTTTGATTTATACATCTGTCTGTGATCACAGCGGTGCAGCTACAGCAAATGGGGTGGCAAGGAGCGAGCTGACACCACCCTGCTCAAACACACGCATGCAAATGCACGCACACATGTGCCACACACACTCACATGCACACGTGCACGTGCACAAACACACAAGCCGACAGTCATGCCAGCCTCTCGCACACACGCGTACACAAGAGTATTAGTGCTTATGAAGTTTTTGGAGAGACAGAGGGGAAAAAGGGAGGGGGGTAAAAGTTTGCAAAAGAAAAAAAGCCCCAAATGTCTTTCTGTCTGTGTCTCTCATATGGGCCTTCTCCGCATGCTTCATTCACTCAGCTCGTAGTGCAGGGATTCAGGGGCCCGGATACAAGAGCTGAGTCTATAAATGTTTTGTTTTGTGTATTTGTTTGCCCTCAAAGCCCAAAGAAGCCACAGGGGGAAGAGTGAAAATGTGGTAAGAGTGAGAGCGCGGAGAAGACGATGATGAGAAAACAACATCAGTACAAGTTATTTAAGATACAGTTTGATGACTTTCTTGTGCAGCGACTTTTCAATAAACAACATAAATAAACAACATCAAATCGTATATGGAAAAAAATTATAGAACGTCTGTTACACCCAGACAAACTAATGGGAAAAAAAAAACTCACTGCGTAGATACATGAGATGGATCTTTGTTTCATCCTTATGGGTGCATTTTATTCTGAACGCATACCAAAATAAAGAGCTGCAACATATTACAGTCAACAGAATCAGGAAATGTATATGTGCTTTAGAGAGCTGGGTGTTCAAAGGATTTTATCTATAAAAATCCAACATCCATTATCCATAAAAATGGTCCAGACTTGATGATCCACTTTTTTCTAACATGAGTCACTGGATAGGATCAGCCTGATCCAGGTACAGGGCCCGATTCTTTAAAACAAAATCCATTAAGATTAAAGATATCAGCGAGAATCAAATCTGTAAACCAGCCAGTTCAAAACTTTAAAGGATTACTTAATCAGATAGCATCAGGTGATCCAATTTATCTTTTAATCCTGATCAAAACCTCCAGTTTGTGTTGTCAGGGAGGATTAGGATTATTTATATCCAAAAAAACAGATTCATCCTGATCCAATCAGAGGGCTGGATTCAGACTGGATTACACAAAACAAAGCAATTCATGGATAAAAGCAACTTTTTAACAAAGTGGTTAATATTTAAGACCTTTCTTTAAAATACATTACGCATTAAAATTATGTTTTTCTTCAGTGTCACTAAGGTGCACATTGTCCTGAGAAAATATTATGTTTTATATCAAATACTGAATATTTAATATAAATCAAACATGAGGATCTGTCAATTTGTGTGGACTTTGGTGCCCCCTGTGGACAAAGTGTGTATTGCATTAAAGCACTGCTAATCCAGATT